AACATAATTAGCTGCCAAGCCTTGATACCTCCTGTGCCAATCATCAACCCAAATGTTAGCACTGCAGATCAGCAGTGCTTTTCCAATTTGGGGCCTCCAAAGAGTAGGAGCAGAGGAAATCTGATCCCCACCTGCTCCATCCATCGCGTCCCATCTTGGCAGGCCCCGCATTTCATCTGCTCACACTACTGCTTGAAGCCTGGGCCAGGGGTGGGGTTGTCTGTGATGGATGTGTTCAGGTTTCTGGGGAAATCTTAGTCTATCTCATTTTACTGATTGACTTGCAAATAGCTCTAACAGGTTACTGGTTACTTTTGTGTCATGCAAAGGATAGGAAAGTGAGGTGATGTGGGGTAATGTGACTGAGAGCTGCATGATGCCATCACTTGAAGCAGCAGCTACATAATCTCAGCTCAGGGAGTGGTGGTAGTGAAGAAATGTTTTGAGATAATTCAAGAATGGCATCGCTGTAATCCTGCTTGACTGTGACTGCATAAAAGCCTGAAGTGGGATGAGCGTGTCTGACAAGAGGCATTGGCTTTCCTGGCTTTCCCTTACGCTTTAATGGCAGTGGTAACATCTTTGCTTCAGAAAGTAGGGGCACCCGTGGTGGTTGAAGGCTTTCTGCCCTGTTTTAGGTGTTTGTGGGTGTACAGGGACAGTGCTGGGATGTCACACCGCTCCCATGATGCGGGGATGCATCGTGCTTGTGCCCCAGCTGCTCCCATCACCGCGAGGCCGGCATCTCGCATCACAGCCGGCCTTGTGATAGTGCTGAACAAAGATGCTTCTGTGAGCCGCTCTCTGCGTGCAGAGGAGTGGAACCAGAGGGTGCTGGGAAACAGCTCGCTGTCAGACAGACTTGGCTTAATGTTGGAATTAGTTCAGTTTGGCAGGGGAGCTTTGTGAACAAAGCTGGGCTGGCTGCATGCTGGAATATTTGAGTGGTGGATTTTAGGAAGATTAGTTCAAATGTAAGATGTTTAGCATTGAAATGCCTGAATTAAGGCAGGTTAACTTTATCTCTTAATCACTTAATCATAGAAGTATGGTGTGATTAGCTGAGCACTCTCAGTACTTCTACTTGAGCATTTCAGAATGTTTAAGACCGGCTGCCTGTGTCAAAGCAATGGCAGCAGTTTTGATGCATCTCTTGATTTTAGGACCCAGGCTAACTTCTGTCCCTAGTTGGGATTGTGAGAGGTGTGATCTTAAAACAACATTCATCAATGCACGCTCAAATTTGATTAGCAGCCTTTTAGGGTTTGAAGGGTTGGTGTTAAATGTCCACAAGATTTCAAGCTTTTTATTTTCAAACAGATACACTCCGTTTCCCATTTAAATAGAGGTTGAAACGTTGTTATGTAGCACAGTTCCAGCAGCTGAAACTTCAGGAAGGAGGCCAAATATTGTGAAATTTGTGATCTCATTGTGACAACAGGCAGCAGTGAGGTTTGTTTAGGCAAAAGTGCGAGGGAAATTCCTGGGTATCTGCACTAAGTATCCTGGTTTTGTTTATTAACTACAATTGCTGCAGACTTACGTTGGAAACATTTGAATGAGGGAGGAGAGAGGCAATACAGCTGAACTTTGTCAGGGAACATCCGATCACTTCATGCTTTCCACAATCCTGTACCTTCTGTGTCTGCCTGATCTTTTTGGGGGTGTGGTGTATTAAGATACACAAGTATGTTTCTAAGCAGGGTATCAGTAAGGCTGGTCCTCCAATGAATGTAAAATTGCTTAAGGAGATCGTCAGTATCTCTTTATCAAAACATTCTTGCTATTGATGAAAGGAGCCATTTTCCACACTGTCTGAACTTTTCATTTTTCCAGTTAAAATCAAATATTTGCCAGTTTGCAGGTTTTTTTTCTTCAGATTTTTGGCCCGCTTTGTTTTAATGATATAGATAACTTTAATTAGTAATTTTAAAAAAATACTGAGTGAAAACTTTCCACAGGGGGAGGAAAGAAGAATATTTCAGTCAGCTCTAATCCTGATTTAAATACTGGAGAAGGACAATGACATCCTAGTGATACAGAGCACACTCAAGCATGTGCCTGATCTCTCGGTGTAGAGAGAACGCAGAGCACATTCTGAGCACTTGCTGCTGTGCGATCACTACTGACCCACTGATCCTACGCTACCAAGTGAGTAATCGTGAGTCAGACCAGGCAGCGAGACAGTGGCACTACTTTGCATCAGAAACAAAGATGACAGGCTTATTAAAGGTATGAATAAAAAAGTACATTGACCTTTTTTTCTCCTGCAGAGAATACCAGAGGAGCTAACCTTAGATGCCTTACTTGAAATGAATGAATCAAAGGTGAAAGAAACGATGAAGAGATGTGGCGCCAGAGATGAGGAGTGCTCCAGACTCAATGGGGCACTGAGCTGTCTAAGGAAGGTGACTGAATCAGGTATAAGACTGCTTTTTTTCCTGTGGAATTAGTTTCTCAGCAACCCAGATTGCATCCTTCTTCCTTTCGTTTGAGATCTACAGAAACCTTTGGGTCTTTGGTTATGTGCTATAACTGATGTCAGGCGATGGCTCTTGGATCTGCGTGAAATTAGAGCAATCAAATGCATCTAGAGCTATGAATGAGATTTAGTTTTTGACAGTATTTTCACCTCTGGAAATAAATGGATGTAGAAAAACTCTCCAACTCAACAGACTATGATTGTTCCCTCTGTGTTCAGAGTTGAGTCTGATGCTGCAGTGAATCTTCCATCATTTAGTATCCTGGACCTAACAAATGCAAACTCCTCTCCCCAGATACTGCCAGCTCAGAGAGAAGCTAATTCTGTTTCATATGATGTAGCTCAGAAACCTGGGTGTTTTTCAGCTTAATTCTTTGGAAAAGCCTAACATTGCTCTGACAACCCTTTATCACTGCATAGCTTGCAGGGTGCCAATTGACTGACTCCTCTTTAAAGCTGCTTCCTTCCTGCTATTTTTCTGACTGGAAATTGATATAATCATTAGCCAAATTCCAGTAGCAGATGTAAGAGCTAGAAAGGACTTTGATTTACACTGAAATTACAGAAAGAAGGATACTTTCTGTTTAATTAGGAATGCACGTGTCCAGCGGATCTGACCAAATTGTTTAAGAACAACCTCAAGATTCCCAGAGTGCTGTTTCACCATCTTCCCCTGCCACCTTCCCAGGTCTACCTTCAAAGCACTGTCAATTCCATTTGTATCAGACGTGGCACACCAGCATACTGGCATTCCTGTGCAGCAGATCTTTCTTTCTAACAGTTACCCATCTGGAAAGGTGTTGTTTCCTGTTGGTATTATGACAGCTTGTATCATTCACCAATCATAAAGATTAGTTAATGGAAAAGCCAACAAACAGTTCAATTTCATGTTTCCTTTTTTCTAATCTTTTTTGTCTGCATTGTCAAATATTTCCCATCCGTATGTAGCAATATCAGCCATTGTTCAGAAGGCATTGGCATCTAGCCCAAATTCAGGTACACTTGTATTAATGTTCCTCTTTTCATTAAAAAAATATATAAAAATCTGTGTTTTGAGAGGGTTTTTTTTTTTTTTTGAAGCCTAGATATATAACTACCACTTCATCTGTTAAAATTCAACCTATCTTAGAATCTTTTAGAATACTAAAATGTATTTTAGTTTAGAATTTGAGATATGAAGAAAGGGTAGTTGATGCAGTCCTTGTTTTAAAGGTTAACTTTAGCTGATGGCATAGATGGACCTTAGGAGAGAAGCAATTACTTGACTAGATGCAAAGAAGGGGAAAAAAACACCTCAAAGCCTAAAGCTGCAGCATGCAGCATTGTGTGCCAGCATTGTTGTTTTCTTTTCTTTCTAAACCTACCATTGCTATGGTTGCTGAACAGGTGGGGAGTTAAAAGATGACGTGCTGATGAATCTTTCTGAAGCACGCCGAGAGAACAGCTCTACAAGCACGACTGAGTGCCCTTGCTCCTCTGCACCCACGTGGACTCACAGTGCACTGAACCTTCCCAAGGGCAACAGCCCTCAGGCACGATCGGTGTCGGTGTCTACAGTCTCATCTTCAGATTCCCTTGCCTCGAGTCACGGACCTTCTGTCTATGCAGATAACCTCCTGGACCCTTTTGCCTTCCCTGCACACGGTGGAAAGTTAGCACCAAGGACTCCTCATAGCATCACCATCACTCCCCCAGCCACTCCTCAAGCCAAGAGACGGCACAAGTTGAAGCCACCACGGACTCCTCCTCCCCCTTGCCGGAAAGTTTTTCAGCTGCTACCTAATTTTCCAACCCTCACGAGGAGCAAGTCCCATGAATCACAGCTGGGAAACAGGATAGATGATGTTCCTCCAATAAAGTAAGCACAATACTTCCTCCCCCTAGGGCACTGAAGAGCTGTCTTCATACCAACAGGCATTCAGTGCTCCAGTTCTGATGCTGGTGGCCAGTTGCTGGTTGTGGTTTCACTGCAGTCTTACAGTCAGTATCAGTGGGATATTCTAGGATAACCACAAAACTGGCTTGCTAATAGTTTCCTTATTTGAAATTGCACCTTCCTGGGAGGTTGAGATGACTGCTGCTATGAAAAGGCCCCAACCAGTTTTTTCTCAAATATCCAATAGTCATTTCCATATCCTGTAATTCTCTTTTGCCCATAAATGTTCCTCTCAGGTCAGGTAGCTGGTAGCCTTTTACATTGTATCTTAGGATGTATTTTAGCTGCTAGTGTGAGCTTTAAGAAAACCTATCTATGTGACAGCTATGCCTCTGCATGAAGACAGGTACTCTTAGGCTAAATATTTATTTTTGACTGATCCAGGCTTTTTTTCCTTCTTGTTCTCCAGGTTTGGTAAGAGATTTTTACAGGTTTGTCTGTATTTCCTTGACGGGGAGAGAAGAACCTGTCACTGTCAACAGCCTGCAGTACGGTCACCTCTGTCCAGCCTGTGGAAGCCCTTAATAAGGCCTTGCATTCCAGAGCTCCTGTTACCTTTGTGAAGAATTGCAGGATGCTTACAGGGTCTTTGTACCTGGTATTTCTTTGGATGACAAAAGCAGGAAAAACGAATGCTGATGTTTAAGGGCTAAAACAAGGAGTTTGTGTGTAACTGCTTGTCTTTGACTTCTGAGAGCTGATTTGGTCCCTTGGTACTAGAAATAGATCTAACCATTTGTCTTCAGATATTCACTGCCTAGTGTCTCTGTGATGAAACTACACAGTCGTGTGTGAGCTTCTGAGAAATGCTTCAGCACGTTCCTAAATCTAGAGTACTTCCTCTGCTGATGAGTCTGTTCACACATTTAAGGGTCTGCAGGACAAGGACTTGTGCTTTTACACACCGACACGTTTGGTGTTTTAATGCTACTGAGCATGGCTGTGTGCAGCTGCCTCTTAGACACAGAACTTGTAACTTAGAAGCTCTAGGAAAGTGCCTCACCATTCTGTGCAGCATGGAAGTTTATATAAGGACCACACATTTCTCTAGTAGTCCTTAGAGCAAATCCCCGAAATTACTTTCAAAAATGAAAAAGTACAAAGAGAAAATTGTAAAATGAAAATGTAAGCAGAAATGGGAGCATTTCTCTCTGCGGAGTGATGGAATTTATATAATGAATTGAAAAGGCATAAGAAAATGTTAAATTAAGGTTTTTGGTGCTTCTATGCACATAGTCTATTTTAAAAATTATACTGAGGGCTCTCTTATGCCCCATTAAATTGCAGAATTTATAACTTTTGTTGTAACTTATGTTACGATGATTAATGCAGACATTTGTGGCTTGGATGTCCGCACTTGCTCAGCAGTATTCTTTGGAAGAACAGCAAGTCAGTCCAGCCTATTGTGAGATGCTGAAGACAACAGATGCCCTGAAAAGTTCACTGGAGTAATTATTAAAAAAAAAAAAAAAGAATTTGGTGCCACCTAGGGTCAAAGAGAGAGACTGGCTTTTATGAGCATTGACAGTGTCCCGTCTTGAGGCTGTGCTGATAGGTACAGGTTGTTTTCTCCCAGTTTGCAAAATGACAGATTTAATTCAGGAAGTATGGCAGTCAGTCTTAATATTTGAGAGCTGCCAGGAAGTTTTTTGGTATAACCTCTGGAGCACTGGACTGGAATTTTGGACTGTAGCTCTTCTTTTCTGCATTTATTGGTTAGCTAAGTGATGCCAGCTAAAATTTTTTATTCTTCTGGGCCACACTTGGTTCTGTCTATAAAATGGTGATAATAATAAAGATAAAAGAATACACTGAAATCTACTGAATACTTGGAAACTGGATGATGGTTTCGGTGGAAAGCCAATTGGGAATAAGCTATTGTATGACTTTACACTTGGTTATGAGAATGGCCTGGGGCTTACTTAACCCCTAAACATAATACATAACATTTTAATGCAAGGAAGGAAGAATGATGAGTCTAACACCAAATTTTAGTTTACATTGCCCCAGTATGAAAAACACTACTATCTTTGTAGTTTTACTGCACAAGGCAAATCGATCTCAGCTGTGCTTCTAGAGAAGTCATGGCTACTAGTTTTTATCTGTAACAGTGCTTACATCGACACAGTAAGTGTGCCTGTGGGTAATGCTCCCCTAAAAGATCTTTGTTCTCCATCAGAACTCTCCCAAGGATCCCCTCAAATGGTACGAAGAGACTTTGGCTTAGCTGTAACACACAGGTAAGCAACAGGTTCTGTGGGAACCACAAAGGAAATAAATGGAAGGGTCAGACCAAAACAGCATCATATTCAGTGTGTTTGTAGTAGTAAAGATGGGCTTGAAGTTGGGTCAGGTGCCTCATTTGTCAAGTTCAACCTTGAATCTGTATTTCAGCTCCTTCTGTTTTTAATATCTCTGATGTGTTCAGCTCATGAAATCCTTTGTCCAAAGCTAACTGACTTGTGATTCCTCAGTGACTGGTGTACCGACAGCAGCAATGTTTTGTTTGGGGCTTGTGTCCTGGGTGAAAGGACTGACTAAAAGAAATGTGCAACAGTGCCTTTTCTAAAGTGCTTCTGCTGCTAAAAACAAAAGGGAGCTGCTCCTTCCTCCCTTCATGGAAAAAGCATTTCCTTTTTCTTCCTTTGCAGTTTCCTGCATGCCCCCTTCCCAAATCCAGACCAAAACTGGGACAGTTAGTACTAATGCCAAACAAACCCATCAGTTCTTTTTAGTAAAAGGGTTAATAGTCTTACCACCATCACTGCACGCACTATAAATTGGGTCCCAGCTTTGTAAAGATGTTCAGGCTAGCCAGAGTCCAGCAGAATCAGTGCTAGCCTTCTTTAAGTTGCTATTGATCAGAAAAGTGGGAAGTCTTCCATAACACCACTTGCCCTTTTCTGAAAATGCTAAAGGAGTCTGCAGCTAGAATGTAGTTTTCTTTAGGCACAGTTAACTTATTTTTCCCCTCCTTCTTCTGCTTAGGTTCTCTACGAAATCTTGGTTATCTCAGATTTGCCAAGTTTGTCAGAAAAGTATGATGTTTGGGGTGAAGTGTAAGTACTGCAGGTGAGCACACAAAGATGATCTTTTACATAAGAAGTTCAGGTTTTATTCATTCAAGTCTGTCTAACAAATATCTCAAGATGTGATGCACTGTTAACGGTGGCGTTACTTTTTTCAGTCAAACTGGCAGTGGGTTGCTTTGGCATACCAGCATTTAGGCTGGGAGCCTACCTGACCATAGGCAAATCTTGTACTGGAAGTTGAATTCCTGTACAGCAACAAAGATTTGGTTTTGATTCTCTGGATTTTCAGTCCAGAGGGCTGAAATTTTCACAGTTCCCTGTCTCAAGACAGTCAAGTGAAGATAAATCTATTAGAAATAAATCAGATGCTAGGGTATCTATCTGACTTTCGTTAGCCTAATGATACGTATAATGGGATTCTTCATATGAACACGTGGACCTGCTTTGGGGCTTAGAACTTTCCAGAATTCTCCTTAAGATTTGCATAAATAGTATAAATTAAGGGTAGGCTTCTTTATGGGAAAGAAAAAGTGCTATTTAACGTTTCTCTTTCAGATTGAAATGTCACAACAAGTGTACTAAAGAGGCACCTGCTTGTAGAATATCATTCCTTCCCAGTAAGTTTACTACAAATTCTTAGCACATCAAAGTAGCTGATGGCATCACAGGAATAATAAGTCGGATTAAAGTGTTTTTTCCATCTCATCTCCAGCCTGTTTTTCAGTTACCAAAATAAGGAGAACAGAGTCTGTCCCTTCTGATATCAACAATCCAGTAGACAGACCAACAGAACCACAGTTTGGAACTCTTCCCAAAGCAGTCACTAAAAAGGTACGTAGTGACTGATGTGAATCTTCTGCCTCAAAGTCAGCGAGGAGCTACAATAAGGAGAGGTCACAGTAGTACCTTACTGGCTGGAACAAGAATGGCACTTCAGCTTTCACTTTGCAAAGAGTCTTTAGAATGACTTTTCCTCCTTGTTAAATATTGGTTGTGCACATCTTGAGCCTCTGCCTCACTCAGAGAAACTGTGTTGTGTTTGAGGCTAGGGACAGCCTTCCTCGTTTCATTAAACATTGATGGAAACTCTATATTTTTATGTACTCATTAGTGACTTTTCTTGCATTCCAGGAGCACCCACCAGCAATAAATCATCTGGACTCCAGCAGTAACCCCTCTTCTACAACCTCTTCCACGCCATCTTCTCCAGCACCTTTCCAGTCTTCCAACCCTCCCAGTGCAACACCTCCCCCAAACTTATCTCCTATGGGCCAGAGAGACGGACGATTTAACTTCCCAGGTAAACTCATCTTTTTCTGGAGAACTCTGCCAAGACGAGAAAGGTTTCTGTGGAGGCTAACCAAGACTTCACAAGTAGATTCAGGTTTCTGAATAGATAGTTAAGTCTTATTCAAGGTTTGAAAATTTTTTTCTTGTCATCTGATAAAAGGAAGCAGTCTGTTGTTACAGGGTTTTAAGTCAAGATACTTTTGCAGGAAAGAAATTACTGAGGAGTTCTGGTACCTTTCTTACACAATGTGATCCTCGTGCTTTCTTTTTCTTTTTTCTTTTCTGATGAGTACTTAAAGAAAGTGGAATTCTTTTCCTCATTTGTGTTACTGTATCATAAAATGCATGCTGCCTGCTGCTTTTGGTCACCAGAGGCTTTAAATCGTAAGTTCATCGCTGGAACAAAATATTAAAATGAAAACTTGCATGAACCAGTTTTATTGGTCCCTTCCAAAAGATAACCAACAATGAACACTGGCTTTAAAAGTGTAGACAGGTGTGCATGGTGAAGAATTTACATCACAGATTAAGGACTCAAATATGCTGTCTTTAACAGAGCTGATGGAGGCAAGGCTTTCATAGTAGAATAAATGTAATTCCTTCTACCTGGAAATGAAGTCACACGGTGCTGAACAGGTGCTGCATCTGGCCTTAAATACTGCTATGTTTTGCAGAAAATTTCTCACCTGTGAAAGTTGCTGTTTTAGCCTTCTTAAAAGGAGCAGAAGCAATGCCAGTTTAGTGCAAGGATTCTACTGCAGTTACTTTGTATTAGGACAAGTAATTCAAATTAAGTGAAATTAAAACTCACAAATAGCTCTTGAGCTTCAGCCTCTCTGCATGCAGCTTGGGAAATCTGATGATATGAGAGGATTGAAAGACCAGCTTTTGCCTGAGCCTGCCTGTTAGCATCCCTGGGCTGAGTTTGCTTCTTCCACTTGATGTCTGAATATGTTGTTTTCCCACCAGACTGCTTGCTTATTGGTAACACAGCACTCATGTGACAAGTGTCATCTGCCTTCCAAAAACGCATGAGCTGAAATTCACCCCTAAAGCAGACTGATAATCAACTAATCTGCTTCCCAACAGTGAGTTGGGACTAATTCATGAAATGTGGCACTTACTGATGATCCTCTAACTTGTTTGTTGTTTTTTCTGTGTTGTTTTTTTTTTCCTGGTGTTTTTTTTTTTTTTTAACCAAACAAAAGCTGCCTACTATATTCAGCATAGACAACAGTTTATCTTCCCAGGTGAGTTGACAGTTTTAATTCTACTAACTGCCTTCTGCTGCTGGAAAGTAACTGTTCATAAATTTCTGCATGCTACCCAAGAATGATAATTCTGCTTCTGAAAAGAAGTCTATCCAGTACAACAGATAAAGCAATAGACTTCTGTGAGATTCTACTCACAGCTGTGTTCCTTTGTTAAGGCTGTCTTTTTGGATTGTATGCTTAGAATAAATGGATGCTGTCAGTTCAGGAATGCTGAGTTCACCTTTATGAATTGATGTTCTTGCCTATGGGATTTAAAAATGATGTAACATTATTCATATGTGCAACATCTTTTCTTGTTCACTGTTCATGAACCCTCAGAAACAGCTTGTCTATTTCCAAAATGAGAACTGGTGATGCAGGTTGCGAGGTACAGAGTATTGTACTCTAAATTTTGCAAGAATTTGCAGCCCAAGATGAATTTCCTATGCATTGGTGACATTGGTCATACTAAATGTGGGTGGAATGCATGGCCTGCAATAAAGATTAATCCTTGCAGAACTGGGGCATCTGGATTCAAGTATTTCTGATTGCTGAAGGCCATTTAAAAGGGTGTGAGCAGCTCACAGATGAGGACAGCCATTGCAAAATGTTACAGATAAGTGAATGCTAAGAAAACTGGGACTGGTTGAAATAAAGGCATGTAAAACAGCCGTTACTGCAGTGTTGAATATTCTGATCTATAAGGGAAGTCTAAAATATGTATAATAATTTTCATACTTTCCAGAAATTCCCAGTCCTGCACAAACAGCACAGCCTCCAGAACCCACTGCAGACACAAAGTAAGTACTGGTTGTTTTATGTTGTGCTAACCTGATAATCTTCAGGTCAGTGTGAAGGCGTTGTTATAACTGAAACCAGTGGCCTGCTGAATGTAGCACCTGAAAACTCCTCCAGGATCAATTTTCAATCATTTCAGTCAACAAGAGTGGTACTGGAATTTCTGGTTTTGTAAAACTGAAGATGTTTTTTAAGTGGGACTGTGCCTTCAGATAGACAGTTATGGCTGTGTGTGCATGTTCCCAGATCAAGAAAGTCCAATGAAATAGAAGGTAAATGGTTTCACAATTGAAACAGCATGGAAGAGCCTGGCAAGCTAACATCTTTGTAGGGATCTGAATTGTAGGGTGTGCTGATGTTTTTAACCTACATACCTAACACTCAAAATTGCTTGACCATTCCATAGGTATTTCTGTAGTACTGGGAATAGGAGCATCTGTTACTGGAACACATAGCAATAATGCAGACATACCACTGCCAGTAAATTCCTACCACTTAAACACTGAGAATCACTTCAAAGTCTTTGTCTCTTATTTGCCAAAGTAATCTTAGAAAGTGCCTAGTTGTTAAGTAGAGCACTGACTGTACTTTGATCTGATCGACTATACTGCTTTCCTATCTGCACCCTATTTATTTCTTACTACAAATCTGTCTTCTCTTTTAGTGCTAAAGAACAGCCAGATACAGATGGAATTAAATACGAAGCAGAGGTAGGCTTAATGGTTTCCCCTTTTATACCTCTTTTGTAACCCCAAAGGCCACGTTGTAACACAACAGAAGCTCCTGGCTGCAATGCCCTGACTGTAGACCAGCTGTGCCTTCAGTAGCACTCAGCTGTCTATGCTGCATAGATCTGCACTGACAGTTGGTGGTTTCTGTTGCCAGGCTGAAACAATGAAACACTTGTAACAAAAAGTAACTGTTTCTAATTGGGCTAAGGTGATACTTCTCAAATCTTTGGTTTGCTCAGTGGCCTGCAGCTGTTTCTCAGGCGGTTCTTGAGCCATTTCCCCAGAGGAGGTGCATGCCTTCTCATAGCCTTCTCAGATGACTTTGTCCTCTGAACAGATCTCTAGATCTGTAGTCACATAAACCTACCTGAGTCCTCTCAAAACAGTCCTCTCTGCACGCTTTTCCTTTCTCTTTCTGTAAACAGGTGGAAGAACCTGAGAGTAATAAATCAGAACCTGAAGACGATGAGGACGAAGTGGAAGATCTGCCAAACAGAAGGCCGCACTTGCAGGGGATGATTTACCGCAAACCCAGCCAGACCAGCGTCTACCTGCAGGAATGGGACATTCCCTTCGAACAGATCGAACTGGGGGATCCCATTGGCCAAGGACGATGGGGAAAGGTTCACAAGGGAAAATGGCACGGGGAAGTGGCCATCAGGCTGCTGGAGATAGATGGGAACAATCAGGATCATCTCAAGCTCTTTAAAAAGGAGGTGATGAATTACAGACAGACCCGGCATGAGAACGTGGTGCTTTTCATGGGAGCGTGCATGAACCCTCCTCATTTAGCAATCATTACCAGGTAAGGATACAGCAACTTCTGTTAGCAATGCTACACGTGCTTATCCATTTATAATAGTAATAATATAGAATCAATTTTTATAAACATATTTGTGATTTATATACTTGCATAACAAATATTTAATGCATGTTTATAAAATATGCATGAATTATAAATGAATATGTAATATTTCTGTAGTCTGAAGGTGGAAGACATAAATGCAGCTTCTATTGCTTGGAGGTTTGGATATTAGAGGCGTCTCTTCTTAGGGAGCTTATTTATTGGCAGTTTAATTCTTATTTTTTAATCTCTTAAAGTCTTTTGAATTCTTAAAGTGGGATAAAACAATCCGCAGTCTCAGCATAAGCTGGTGCTCAGGTTTTGAAAACTGGCCTTACTTGTCAGAAGAGCGTAACGAGATCAGGGCCACTGCGGAAACACACGAGCTTCTGCTTGAACACGCTTTAGCAATAACTGGATGGCAGCAATAGCTGTGAGTGTGCTCACCCACACGGGTGTCAGCTGAGCCATTTACATCATTGAAAATGGCACTGCTCAGCAGAGGGAAGAAGACTGATTCTGTCCACGTGATAAGAGCACTATTTGAGCATCCAGTGGTCATTTTTATGTTCCTGTAGTGTTTAAAAGAGACTTCTCAGGACTCTTATTCTTCTTTCTTATAGTTTCTGCAAAGGAAGGACACTTCATTCATTTGTAAGGGACCCCAAGATATCCCTGGATATTAACAAAACCAGGCAGATAGCACAGGAGATCATTAAGGTAAGCATACGCCGTGCTATCGGAGACATCTGCATTCTGGGCAGTACCTCAGCAAATGTCAAGAGGCTGCACAGCTGGGGAGGGTCTGTATGTCCAAAAGCCTTACTGCAGGATGCTGCAGCAGGGAAAAACTTGAAACTGGAGGAAGGAAAACTGCTAATTCAGTGGGCAGTAAGCTGAAGACCTGTAGGGACAGAAATTGATCTTTTGCTTATCTGGGGTTGGGAAGGGAGAATTTTGATAAAATGCAACCATGAAGAAATACATGCAGGGCATGTTTCCTTCCCAGTCTCTTCTCTTTTATTAGTAACTACAACTATGTTGATGCATTCTGAAGCAGACATTATCTTCCAGATTTGCAGTTTTCCATAGTTGTTTTCAGTATTGCTCAATTGAAATAGCATTTCTGAAGCTGTTGTTTTCTTTGCTGGCAGAAGCATCCTAGGAATTTACTGAGCAAGCTTGTGTCAGTTGTTCCTTGTTCATACACATAAACACTTATGCAGAGTTGTGAAGTTCACAGTCACTGCTTCAATTAGAAGTACCCTCCCAGCAACCCTGCTGTACAGAGGAGGAAGCTGCTGTATCCCCACTTATTGTTTATGCTGGAGTGAATAGAGTAAACACTTATTAGAAAGAAAGACATGCCCAGTTAGAGGCTTGTAAAGAAGACAAAACTTACATCTCTGCATACAAACTTTTTTTCCAGGGCATGGGCTATCTTCACGCAAAGGGGATTGTACACAAGGATCTGAAATCCAAGAACGTTTTTTATGACAATGGAAAAGTAGTGATCACTGACTTTGGACTATTTGGAATTTCGGGTGTGGTTCAGGAAGGGAGGTAGGTGGAAGTTTCAGTGCATGGCACACTTCTGGGGTGATAAAAAACAATCAAACAGGGACACACTTCAGTGCATCACACAGTGCAGGAGAGGAGATCTGGGTCCTTTACTCTGTGTGTTTTGGAATGCACTTTTTTAAAGTAGAGGCCTTTCTACACTTCCAGTGGCACACAGCTGTGAATTGAGTCTCAAAACAATTTTAAGCCCAAGGATGAGCTGGAAAGTCAGGCCAACACTGGCATGTGTTTTTTAATATGGCACGAAAATTAGAAAGAACACGTTAGCCAAGCCAAAACATTTAAGAAGAGTCACAGCATTAGGCAAACCACAGATATGCGCCAAGTGCTGTCTCTTAGTTTAATTAATACTGTGTTTCAATCTGACTTCTCCTTTGAACTCAGGAGAGAGAATGAATTGAAGCTGCCTCATGACTGGTTATGCTACCTGGCCCCTGAAATTGTTCGCGAAATGGCCCCTGGGAAAGATGAAGACAGGCTGCCTTTCTCCAAAGCTGCAGATATCTATGCCTTTGGGTAAGGGAAGAAGACCTAAAGAGTATCACAGGAACTTTCTAAATGAGATAGGAATTTTAGACCTGAGCCTTGCCACTCTTCTGTCAGGCACAGGATTCAGCTGGGCTGCATTTTCCTCACCTATTGCGAAAGGTGTGGGTGTGACAGTTTGAGGGGAAGGTGGATGAATGGGCTGGGAGGGATTTGCTGCAGCCTTATTTACATTTCAGAGCTTTCTGAAAAAATTGGGATTCTGTCAGAGTTTTGCATCTTAAGAGCAGGCAAAGGCTTGATTTGTCTGTTTATGTTGCAGGACTGTGTGGTACGAGCTCCAAGCAAGAGAATGGCCCTTCAAGAACCAGCCTGCTGAGGCACTCATCTGGCAGATTGGAAGTGGTGAAGGAGTGAAACAAATCCTTGCAACTATTAGTTTGGGGAAAGAAATCAATGTATGTACATCACCTGCAGGAGTCCTTCCAAAATGCTGTTTGTCAGGGTTGCTGTAGAAGAGGGAGCTGCTTATTTTACTCTTATTATAATTCTAAAGATGAAGAGCAGGAGAGAGAGCAGATTGGAATGAGGTACCAGCCTCTTCCCATTATTGTCATATAGACGTGACACCCACTGGTACACAGGACACTGATTTTAAGAATGACCAAGACAACTGCTTAAAAAGTAGCTCTTGCTACTCAAGTTGCTGTCTCAAGTTGCACTGCTCCATCAATCAGTTTGCACAGCTGATGTGTGAACTAAGTGGAAATAATGAGCCTTACCTATCCTTTGCAGGAAATTCTCTCAGCATGCTGGTCATTTGATCTCAGTGAGAGACCTAGCTTCACTGTCCTCATGGATATGCTTGAAAAACTGCCAAAGCTGAATCGTCGGCTCTCCCACCCAGGGCACTTCTGGAAGTCTGCTGAGTGAGTACTTGTGGTCTAACATGTACATGTTAACATGTGGTTAACACTTATGCTGCTCAGAATTTGCTAACCAACTGTTCCTGTGCTTAACTTTGCCTTCCTGGGGTCTGTCATACTTTTAACAGCAGAGTAACAGTGTGCTGTTTTGCTTTTCTAGTTGCTAGGAAATTATGCAATTAAATGTGCATGCACTTCAGACAGTTAATTTCCTACTTCAACATATTCACTTCCCTCCTGTAGATCATTTATCCAGCTTTGTTCAGGCTTCTGACAGTATCTACCAATGTTATTGGAAAGTGCCCACACTGACCTGAAAGTGATTAGAGCTTTCCTTTTAATGGCTGGTACTGAATGAGGAAGGGAACCACCAAAGAACATGCTGCCATTTCCTTTTTAAACTGAATCATCAACTTATGGAAGAGCCTCAAATGTAGCAACCTTCCTCAAGGAGCACAAAGAGAAAAAATGCAAACCCTCCCCCCCTGTAGGGAAGGCAGCCCAGTTCTCATAGACAGATAAAGGATTGGAGCACTTTGCTCAATCTAGTTGACCTCTGGAGGAAAAAAAAAAAAAACATGTTAAAATCTTCAGAATCTCTAAATTGCTTGGCAAAAGCAGTAAATTGACAGCTAGGGACAAGTTGTTACTTCTGGACTGAATAAGCTGGAATCATGTCAAGATTTGGATCAAGGAAAGATGAGAAGTAGCAGCACAAATCCTAGCCAGATCATGATACTTTCCAATTTAGGATCTGTGTTGGAACTGGGAAAGAAAAGTATCACAAGATCAAGCATCTGTAAACGGCCTAAACTGGGAGAGTCCCTATGGTATCTGTTATGATAGATGAGAGCAGAATTTGGAACTAAATCCAGGTCAGAATAGACTTGCATAAAGCCATAGGACTAAAACCTTTTGTCTCCGGCATCATGAATACCCATCACTCAGAGAATAAGGGATCCCAGTTTCGCTTGCCTCAAAGTCAGGGGGAGACCAGACACTTGTGAACTGTGCCCATCTTCCTTTGGTGTATATTTTCTTCAACTGACCCTCTAATATTTTATTTTTTCTTTCCCTTTTTGATGTTTAATCTACCCCTTCCTTACCATAACCCTTCATGATCTTCCTGTAATACATTCTCATCACTAAACAAATGCTTCTGTTTACCTGTATGCTGACTGTCTTGGCAATTTGTGCCTTGGTGTGTGCTTTATTTGGGCGTTTGGTTGCAGATTTCACCCTTTGTTTCTTGTTATAGTGTCTAACAACATTAAAAGATGGCCTCATCTTTATACAAAAGAAAACTATTACCAGCAAAAGTTGAATGCTTACTATCCGCTCATCGATAAGTAGAATTGTCTACTATTTTTTCCATGTGTTAGATACATTAATATATCACAGCACTCATTTTAGAAAGATACAATGAAAAACAGGGAGATCCTTAGATGTGGCAGTTCTTTGCATCATCAGTTTCTGCTGTGCACTGGGGTGTGACTGTAGGTGGAGGTAAGGTGTCTTTCTGTGCCCTGCTCCCTCCTTACTCCAGCAGATCAGTTACAGCATCAGTCTGGGGATTTCAGTTGTCTTGATTTTTTTTTTTTTTTTTTTTTTAAGTTTTTTTCTTCTGAATAAGTATCCAATGAGAAACCAACAGAACTTGAGCTCAAAGTTCCATCATTCATAAATGAAGAGAAACAGCTCTTTTTCCTCTTCAGGCCTAAAGCATTGTAAATTTAAATTTGTCTCCTCTGCATATTGGGAGTTAGAGAGCAAGTTATGCTGTGCTTAGAGTGCTGAGAAGGATGGCAGTACAAAAGGCAGGTATAGAATCTGGTCAGTGCGATAAGCTGCAGAGCGCGATGATCAGTGAGGGTCTCTTATTCTTGGATTTGAAAGGTAACTCAACCCCAATATTTTTAAACAAATCATCTTTTGTCTCAGAGGAGGATCATGGAGTTCAAATTGTTTTATGGACAACAATTCTTTTGTCAGGAGATACACGTGATATGGCAGCATCCTTTGTTCAAGTTTTTCCTTTCCTACAGCAGCCCTTTGCTGTAAAGCCCTCCAGCACGATGGCTCTGCATCAACACTTTCATGCCCTCATTTTTCCATACCACCAGATCTACTTGTGTTGGATCATTGACTCCCACAGCCAATTTGGTATCTTTCAGTCCACCTAGTCAGACACTGTAGAGCAGACTGGGAGTCCGGGCTGCCTAAATATTCCCAGACTGTCAGAGGGTCCTGCATTGTCCCCTAACATCACACTGGAAATTACTTGAAGTAATGCTTCCCATTTGGGCAGTTGGTTCACAAGAGTGCTCATTTCCATAATCACATCTGCCAAGTGATTATTTTGGGTTAGTGTTTCCAGAGGGAGCTCTTAAACAGCCTGTGGAACTGTGCCTTATGGAGCAGCGACCCAAATTATTTTTTTCCCTGTGTAGTCAGATCCTCTGCTCCTACTGCAAGTGGTTCATGTAGATTTGCATACATTATTGCTTTTTCTCTGCTGAAAGCATGTAATAGAAGTACTTTAAGTATCAACATTGTCAGCTGAATTAGTGCTCACTGAAGTGAAAGTGCAGGCAGCTCAGTTGGTTTTTGTCTCCTGCAAACTAGATTATATTCAGGTCACACTTAAAAAGCACTGTATATCAGTGTCAACCAGCGACCAGATGCAAAACCTACTGAAGTCACATCCCCTCTGACAACTCCTTAGAGAAACACTGCATTAACCTCCTGCCTGACTCTGCTGTAAGCTTTATAGTAGGTAGTTTTCAAGAGCTTGCTTTAAAATAACTGAAAACTAACTCTCATGGTGTCTTTTTCCCCTCCTTCCCATATTTCTTTGTAGGTTGTAACTACTGGTGCAATAATGGGTTCCACCTTGCATGCTTCCCTGTGTTGTATCCTAACCAGCAACTTGGACAATCACCTTCCATTCAAAAAAATGAAAACAAACCACGAAATTAACCCATGGACATAATCAGCATTTTATGCGAATTCTCCTTTTCTGCCTTTTTCTGCTTGGCGTGGGCTGTTAGCTTGAATAACAACTCCTGCCTGCAAGAAGTTACTGTCTAACAACGCGGCACCTTTCACTTCTGAGTCACGGCAGCAGGCTGCAGCTTCCTCCTGGCAGGCAGCTGGTGCTCTGCCCTGACTGGTGTGGGCAGCAACAGGCTGGGCTTTGGCTGACGCTGGCAGTTGTGGCCCACAAGCCTCAGGAGGCAGACAGGGGAAGTTTCCTAGCTGCTGAGGCGGTGGCTGTCATCCTCAGTGCTGGGCTATGGCTTTTGACTCAACAGGTGCATTTTCCACAGGCGCAGCCAACAAGTGAACACTTCACTTGCATTGCAAACCAACGAGAGTTAAGGGACAGAGTGGATTGGTTCTGCTGTAGAGCCGGATCCAGCCCTGCATCGAACCAAGGGTCAGCTTTGTCAGGGGTGCAGAGAAAGGAGGACAGCCCTCGCTGTGCTCAGGGCAGATTGCATTCCCTCAGCCTACCTGTGAATGCACCACCAGCAGCTGCATCCAAAACTGGGATCAGCTACAGCACTTAGCAGAAGAGGAGGAAAGTAGGGAAGCCCTTCAGTTCCTTCTCCTTTCCTTGCAAATCCAGTGTTTTGAGCTCCGTGATTTGCTTTTGTTTACATCTCTGGTTCAGCAAAATGCCTGACTTTGCAGTAAGAACTTTGCAGAACTGTAGGCAGCACTGCAAATGTGTGCCTTTTTGTAAAAGGTCTTTTTTCATTCCTTTTTTGAAAAAAAATTGTTTCACTGGAGAGAGGACAAGGATAGAGGCAGACATGCAGCAGGAACCAGGGAGGTTTTTACTGTGTTCAGTGAGGACAAATACACCTACATGTCATTCTCTCAAAATCAGATGCCTGCACACTGCACTGGAAAGGGTCTGCTGGAAGCCTTCATGCTCCCTGCCTTGCTGCCACCAACCACGTACGTGGAGGAAGGCATTTTGAAGTGAAAACATTTCTAGCTCTGCTAACAGATTAAGGGTGGATGAGAAGATATCTTTATTCACTTTCTCTAGACTATAAAGAGGAGCAGATGTGTTTTTTAAAGCAATTGATGTACCTTGTCAGAATTCCCCATCCTCTTAAATAAGTTATTATTTTCTCCATTTCTATTTCTACGAAACCAAATTTATGTCAGTCTTCTACCCACCTTAGGTTAGGTACTTAAAAGCCTCCTGTTTTGCCAATTTGAGCCATATGCTTTCACTAAAGAGGTTAGCATGAATAAATTCAAATGTTTGCTGCTTAATTTTTAAACACTGCTGGGTGATCTCTCACTGCATGAGAGCAGAGCCCAACCCATTTACTTTTATATGACTGTAGCTTTGTAGGGGAGAAAAAAACACAACAAAAAAACAACAATAAATAATTCTTTTCCCCTCCTTTCTCCTTTCCTTCCTCACTCTTTTCAGCATTAACAGTAGCAAAGTTGTCCTGCGTTTTGAGAGATTTGGCTTGGGAATCCTGGAACCAAGTAATCAAAAGATATAGCATGGTGTGTGGTTGTCTTGTGATAATGTCTACCTACTTACACATAAAGAAATCTTCACTGAATTTTCCAAGCTATGAAACTGGTGCAGCCACAGCTGAAAGCCACACGACCATCAATTAACAGTCCTTTGTTGTTGGCAAAGGGTGAATTCTGCCTGAGCACCAGCAGTTATTTAAAGAATGTTTACATGATACTTTTGCGTGAACTATATATTTTTTTAAACACAATAAACAGTGAATCAATTAACTACAGCCATTCCACTAGCACAAAGAGAAACCAACCTCCTTCTAGTTCCTTTTTGCGTCTGTGGTGTAACTAGGAATGATCTTCTGCCTTCAGTGCATTTTTCCCTAAGACAAGTGGAACCGCTTTGTTTCAGAATGGTTACGTATCTCATACAAGGAGATGGGAGTTTTAAATTGTCTTTCTCTTGTTAAGGTAAAATTTATCCAAACTGATCATTCAGTTTGTGATCACTCTGGTTTGTTTCTGCAGGTTGGTCCAAGCTCTGGGTTACCTTGAATTAAGTTAAAGCAGTAAAAATCTGCTTCTTGCTGCCAAACATAGTTATCTCATTGAAACAGAACTGAGCACTTCAACACAGAACTCACAAGAAAAGCCGAATTGCCCTGCCACAGAACTGCCTCGGGTTGGTTGGGGTGGCAGTGGACCTCTGGGTCCATCCGCTTTCAGCCCCGCTCAGGCAGGGCCACCCCAGCTGGCTGCCCCTGGAGAAGGTGAGCGCCTGGGCACCACGCTGCTCCTGGGGAGCTTCAGGCACAACCCGTTTGGTTCCCTGAACCAGAGCACTGCCAGACCTCACCCCTTGCTGCCCTGATGGCAATCTCATTTGTAGAAGAACATATTTCACTAGATAGAGCTCCAGGGAGGGAAGAAAATCAAGAGAAAAAGCCATCCCTTAACAATGTATAATAACATACTGTTCTGATACACAGAGCTTGTTAAGAGACTCAAAGTCATTTCTCTCCCCTGTGCGCACACACACTCCTCCAGACAGTCAGATAAGTCTGCAAGAATTTAAGAAATTTAGGACTCAGCAGTTCTGAGGAAAACTAAGAACAGCAAAACCCTTGCAGCTGGGAAAGTTACATTTTGTTCCAGAGAACCTGAGTCAATCCAAGACCCGTTTCAAAGGTTAAGATCAAGAAAAAACCCAGCCCCCAAAACTCAAAAGGAAACCACATGCTACAATGTGCAATGACTGATCAGACTGATAAAGGACACAGCTTATTTCTGCATTGAAGGTAACAGATGCATTATCTCACTTGCAAATGAATTGCAAGCTGCATTAAATGTTCCATCACACCTCCCATTCTTGTTCCTCTGCCTTTGCCTGTCAGCCAGGGCAGCAGGACAACTCTAATTATGCAGTGGACATTAAAGAGCCCTTCTGTCCTTACACTGCTTCATTTTTAAGGTAGTTCATTAGGACTCCCTGAAAGTCACCAAATTTCATCTCTCCAGTCACACTAGTACATTACATGCCTCTTTTCTATCTTTTGCCACCATTACAAGGCTTTATAATGTAGATTACAGAGGGGAAAGCCCTGAAGTCCTTCACAAGGCACATGAAGTGATAGGCACTCAGTTTGGTTACAGGCAGCTGACTTGGAGAAAAAAAGAAGTTCTGTTGAGCAGAGGGCTTCACTCCAGCTACTCCTTCACTGTGCTATGGTGATTTTAAATGTGCCTCAAATATAAAACAGAATTTGTTTGGTGGTAGCCAAGCATGGAGACATGGTTCTCTTGACCTCCCTCTTACCACCTCAGAAAAGCAAATAGGCCCCTCAGCACATAGTGCCCTTTTAGCCACCACCTGCTTTCTCTTCAAGCCTTGCTACTGTTTGCTCTCTCACAATAACATTGTCACAGATTTAAACAGAGGTTGTTTTCCAACGAGTACCACTTAAGTATTGACAGTGCAGTAAAAGCCAGGAGGAACCTGCTTGGTAGCAACGTTAAGGTTATGAACCCACGGGCAGCAGTGTACCTTGCCTTAGGGAGAGCAGAAGCTGCTGCTGGATGCACACATTGCATCGAGCAGCCCCTCTGCACCACAGCATGCTCTCACTGCTATTCCTGTCTCACTTGGGAAACCCAGAGCTTTCATTGTGGGAAGGAAAGAGTGATTGCTCACCTGGCTGTCAGCAGTAATGCTGCTGTGGCAATGTGCAAGAACAATGCTGAGAAAGCACGACCTTCTCAATCTTTTCCTACAGGATGGCTGGTTGGACAGACTATCCAGCTTACAACAAAATAAAATTAAAAACCAAACGTTGTTCTCCCTGTGTGACTGCCCTCATGTGAGGTTCAAACCCTGGCTGTTTCCAGGCGGAATGCTGTGCTGACCCTGCTTTCCAGCCAGGCAGCTACACCTGTGTCAGCAGGGCTGCCTGTCCCTTGGTGCTTCACTTTGCAGTGTGCTGAAAGCAGATGGGGCTGACCCATGAGCTCTGCAGGCTGATGGAGTGCCATCCTGCTGCAGGAAGGGTTTCAAAACTTGCCTTTAAATCATGAAGTTTGAGATTCAGTCTGAGTCTTCCTTGGTTTTGTGTTCAACTCCCATAAATGGTTCTTAAAAGCAAAACCCAGCGTACTAGAGAGCAGGGCCAATTACTGTCTAGGGTAATGTGTTGCAGTCAGCTGTGTAAGGCACATGGAAGTCAAACAGAACCATGCAGCTGTACAGCTGTGAATGAAATCAGGCGCTTCCATCTCTCTGCCACAGCTGAGCAGCAGGCATTGGGTCACTGCTTTATGGCCATGTGTCTCCTCGTGTGCTGGTGTGAGGCACGAAGCACAGTAAGCCTGTCCTATTGTAGAGGTGTAAATGTGAAGCTGGCTGTACAATGCTGCTACAATAGCCACACATCAATAGTGAATGTAAATGGAGTCTGTAATATGGTGAAAATTGACACGTTTTTCTTTTCAAATGTGTTGTAAACTTTGTACAGTAAATTTTTTTAAAAATATTTTCTATCAGAGTGTCTTCCAGAATTGCTATTAAATTAAAAATTGTTAGTATTAACAACCGTTGCTGTATTAGTTTATGCAACCAGCAAGGAAAAAAAAAAGTGCACATTATGCTAATAAAATACTGGATACATAGGAATCTTTTCAGCAAATAAATCTTTGCTCTGGATAAAGCAAGTGTTACAGAATTGTGGTTTGACCTTCTCTCTCCCTCCCCCCCCCAACACACACGCACACACTTGTAGCCAAACTAAAGCACAAGCAGCTCATTCTTTTTTTCTCATCTTTTTCCCCCTCAATTATTGTAGTCCTGCAAAGCCCAGCCAGGGAGGAATAAAAATTGTTTTTGGAGCCTTGTTTGTGATAGCAAGTCCTCAGAAAAAAGCACTATGTCACCCCCATCAGCCCCTTTCCCCACCACTGACTCAAGTTGTGGCCATTTGCTTTGAGCTATCACTGACATCTGCCCAGCTGCTATTCTAACAGCACACCTTTCCTGCAGACAAGGATCATTTTGTTTCCTCTTACAAGTCAGATGCAAAAGCCCTTCAGCTGCAGGACAGCTGGCAAACTTTCTTCAACTTCTTTAACAGATGGAACTGAGATGCTGTTCAAGTTCCTTTTTGCTATGATCACTGGAATTCTCACCACAAAGGGCATCAAACAGCACCAGGATGGCACTGAGAACCCAGTGCACGCTCTCAGCAGCTCCCCATCCCACTGCACAATTCCAGGTCCCACCACTCCTCACAGCCCCAGCAGCAGTGCAGCTGCTCAGCATGCACCAGAAAGCTTCCCCACCTGCTACAGTGAGCCAAGTTACCTGGCTTGAGGAACTCCAACGCTGACTTTTCTCAGAGCATTAGACTATGCTGGGAGCAAGGCTGGGCAAGTTCAGCACTTCAGAGCTGCTCAGCAAAGCCAAGGGGGCACAGCAGGGCCTGAGCTCTGAGCAGAGCTCTTGGTGGATCAGGTCATTCAGTTAGGATAGAACACAACGAGCTTCAGTAAAAGGAATCTTAACATTACCTTGCTGAAAGCTCTTCTCAGCTCCCAGCTCAACACATAGGCCACCACACAGCTTGTTTTTGGAGGAATTCATCCCCCTGTGCTGCCAGGAAGCAGCAGAAAGCCCGCACGTCCACATCACTGATCAGCACCAACAGCTGCAAGAAGGCTGCACACCTGCAGCCACGCACTGCCACAGAAGAGGGAGCTGCCTCCTGCCCCAGAGCCCGCTGTCCTTCCCCTGTGTGTGCCCCAGCTCCAGGCAGCTACTCAGCTGTGTGTTAATTAATCCGTTAACCCCAGGGTCACTGTGCTGCTGCCAAACAGCTTTACTCCAAAAATAACAACAGCCTTGTACTGCCCTGCAGAGAAAAGGACAGTGCACTTTAAAGCACAGCTTTACATTTCATCCATCTTATCTAGATCTTTCATACACAAACAGTAAAAGCCTTCAGATAAGTTGAGCCTTCTTGCTTTTCATAAAGAAAAAGAAATAATGAATGTAATTATCAATTAAATTTGAAGGATGAGGTCATGTATTAAAATACAAAAAAAAACAAAACAAAACAAAACCCTAAACCTCAAGCATGAAGGTTACATCCCACCAGCTGCAAAGGGAAGCTCACTGTGGACTGGCTATATTATTACATCCCAGCCCTGCAGCACAGCTCCCACCAACCCAAGGCAATGCCTTTTCCCAAAGAAGAGCAGCAAATCCAGCCCAGAGGCATTGCATCATCACCTGCCTCCTGCTGAAAGCCTCAGAGCACATCCTAACCTGGGATTTGTGCAACACAGAATATGACTTGTGCATTTTTGTTATATTTGTTTATATCTTAGTCAAGATTTTGAAGTTCTTTTTGTTTTTAAAGCATTTGTCTTTCATCAGTGAATAGTCCAAGAATCTTTTCCCTGAAAAGCAACAGAAGCTTCCCTCCCTCCTTTCCTCAGTCAACAAGTATTCCCATCTCAGTGAAGACAAACTCAAGCACAGAGACCATTCAGAGCTCCAGACAGCTGTGATGTAACACTCAATTGCATTTTAAACCCTAAAGCCAGAGGGGACCACTTCACCAGTACTCTTGGCAAGAAAATGCATCTATTTTGTTAAACACATAGCAAATGCATTGTGCTGCAATACTCCTCCTGAAAGCACAAGGCACACACTAACACTTTAAAATATAGAACTTACTTCTGTTGCCTATGTTGGACTTATTTGAAGCCCAGAGCTCAGAGAATCCTGGGCTTATTGAGAGCTTTCTAAATGGAGATGGAAGTTACCTCGTTCTGCACCTCACCTCAAAACTTCAGAAGCAAAGAATGTGTTAGAGCATGAAATAACATCCACATACTTGCTATGAACCTCCTCTGTCCTCTCTCTGTCTCTGCTGTCCCACACTTCCTGTTCTCCATCATCACTGCCCACAGCCTTTCAACTACGCTGCGTTTCTCATCTTATGTTTAAAGCTGTCCTGAAGAACACGTGGAACACACCGCACATACGTGACACTGTTGACTTTTGAGTGTCAAATCCTTCACTGGATTCCAGCTCCTGGAGACAAAGGATGACAGAAAAAAATCTCACCTTTAGCTTTTTAATGCCATCATAAATTCCTGCTGATTTTAGGAAAAGAAGTTATAACAGAACTGCAAGGGACAGGAACCAAACTCAAAACATAACTAGGGCAATATACATCGCTCCAATTGCTGTTTTGCATTCTTTAGTTCACTATCCAGAAGGCAAGATTCACATCTCTCCAGAAGTAACAAGACCGTATAACTCATCTTAGGCAGGCTGTGTAACTCACAGAGATGGGCTCTTTGCTTAAGGAGAGAGTGCGGGTTGGAGAACACCTCACATCAGCCTTTGGAAGCAGAGAAACTGCTCCTGATGAGTTCTTTGTGACACCAAGCAAAGCATCATTAGAAATAGCAATAATCACACGCAGATGGAAGTTGACTCACCCAACTGGTTAAGAGGGTCTTCTGGCTATAAAACACACCTCCTCAAGACGCAGCCTCCACCCAGGAAGCATTCTCCCATCGAAGGCTTGCTCTAAATGAACCCAAGGGGAGGCAGACCCCTGCTGGTCAGGTGGGAAGCTCAAAAAATTGCTTGCACCTGCGCTTCCTGGCCACCATCCCTGCCCCCCCTTCACCAGGTCCTCAATCATCAGCTCAGGCTGTGTTCTAGCACTTCCCCTACATTTACCTACCAACCTGCAATTTTTTAGGCTGAAGATAATAGGACACAGAAGTACATTTAAACTACACCAATTTGTTTGTCTTAATAATAAAGGTATCTTTTATTACAAACAAATCAAGTAAAGTCAGAGCATAAAAATCAGATGGACAAAGTGCTTTTGAATTTTCTGAACCTCATTACTGTAGGCTCTGTAACAACAAAAATTCAGGTTGGTGTACCTGAACTACAGGGAGCAGAAATCAAACTGCTACCTCCTCACATGTATGCATTTGAAGTGTAAGTGTAAGCAGCAGGTATTTCCACTCATAAGCTGTTGTATTTTATCACATTTGCAAGAGTTCCTTTAGATACAACAAATCTTTGGACATTTCCAAGTGCCACAACTTTGAAGATAATACGCACAGTAAAACAATAATATAAATAAATTCAAACAGATAAATAGTCCATTAAAAAAAAAAAAAAAACCAACAAAAAAATCACTTCCTGCAATAGCAAAAAACTAAAAAATGTCACTAATAGCAAAAAAAACCTCTAAATTTTCCTGGTGACCAGGTTTTATATGTTTTGTATTTGCAAAAGATGACAGACCTATACTAACCTAGATAGAATTAAAAAAATAATTGGCATCTTCAATATTAATCTATTAAAAGAAATCTGAGAACAACAAAAGATAAATTTTATATTTTTCTTACTTAAGGCTAAAGCTTAGAAGTCAAATCCTACTATCAGATGTGCAGCATTTAGCTGGAATAAAGAAGAGGATTTGATCCCTAGATTTTTGAAAACAACAACAAATGTGCAAATATCACGTACAGACTGTTGGTCCGTGCCTGGAATGATGGGATGCAAATCTCTTATGTTCTTTTGACTTCATGTGGGAACACAGCCCCAAATATATCTTCATGGTATCGCTTTTGGCTCTGAAGAAGAAAACAAACAAAAACCAAGAGATGAATCTTTCTGTGACATTTAAGTTGCATTCATATGACTAATTCTGTGATGGTGGACTTTCTTGCTGCCAATAAAGGAACCAAATTGCAGACACACAATCTCCAGACAAGTTCTGCTGACAGAACAGTCCCACAAAGCCAGCCATACTCAGACACTGTGCTTTCAGTGACTGCCCCATTACTTTCTGAAAGTCACATTCCTATTTTGGTACAAAAAAGTGTCAAACTTTTGATGCTCTGGAGACATCGCAAAGCTAATGGCCAGGATCAAAAGAGGGATGCTGGGCAAAATGTAGTATGTAAGAGAGGAGCATGACATGACATTCATACAACCTAACCAAACAGCAACCATGCATTTTAGACAGTGGTGAGCAGAATAAGCTGATCAGCTTAGCACTTAAGCACTTTTCTTTAGCATGCTGCTGAAAAGAAACTAATTGCCTGCAAGATCTGGAGTGTGACTCTGAAACCTGTGTTGGAGCACTGTCTGAATGGAAAGAATGCCTTCTACATCACAGAATACCTTTAGCTGGAAGAAATACTCTTCTGCCTGCTTCTCTGTGTAGTCCAGATTTTTTCCAAGCATCTTCTTCAAAGTCTGAGCAACATCTCTGGCCATGCGTACATCTCCACAGACATACAGATGCCCTTCCTCTTTATGCAAGATATTACATACTTTGGTTTCCAACTCATTTTGAAGAATATCTTGAACATAGACCTTAGAAACAGAAAAAATATCATTAGAAAAGTTCTCTTTAATAATACTTTTTAAATTTAGAGTGGGCCTACACAGGAAGATTCGATACATCCTAACTATTCCATATGCTTCAGAACAGCAAAGGAGAGGAAAAATATCTTAAATGCTCTCTCCACAATCCCCAGATTGGAAGGCTGGACTTGTCCTTGATTAAATCAGAGTACGTTAAGAGACTTTTATTTAGAGCCAATTACCACTGCCAAAGATTCCTGACTTGCTACAGAGGCAAGACAGCTTAAAAGGGTACTGAAATGGTGACAAATGATGGAGCCAACTCATTTCCAACTCACAGGCTCATCATATCCTGCAAAACGTACGGTTTCCAGAAGTGCTCCAGCTTCTAATTTCAAAGGACATTTTGCACTCAAAGGTTTAATTGTATGTCTACTACACCTATCAATAAGGCAGTGAGGATTTAAAATACATATGTACATATATGCTACTCATTCAGAAGTGAACAGTGAGAGGCTCCTTTGCTTTGGAGGAATGGAGCCTTTTGTCACTTGTTCACAATGCACTGACACTAACAGTTTTGTTTTGCTTCGTTCTGTTTTTCAATAAAATTGTTAAAGAGAGCCCAAACATTAACTTGAGGGACTCTTCCTAAAGGGGCCAGCTCTTAAAGAACAAAAGAACCAGCCTTACTTTAGGTTGACCAGGTTGCCTGGAGTAAGCTGTAAAAACTTCTTTCAGAACTCCTTTCCTCTTCATTTCTTCAACTTCTTCTTTGTAGATATGATCCATATCTGGCTGCCGGCAGCCAAACAGTAATATCATGTCACCAGCTTTGATCCCTGAAACCAATACCAGAGTTATTTTGGATTGCCTAGTAAGGCCCATTATCTCATACCACCGTCCCCAGAGAAAACCCTGCCACATCAACTTAGTTGGGCAATGTAATCACTGTTTCTAATTAGTCTTTCTTGCTAAAACTCTGAGGAGTTTATGTGTGCATGAGTGACAGCTCCTGATTTTAAGTCTGCATCAGGACTGAATCTGCCTGAGACTTCAAAGTACTATGTGGAATCACCTATTGAAGCACATTTCCCAAGCAGGATGATAGAGACAGGCCACAGCATTTCCTCTCTGCATTGTGGCCCCTTTGTGAGAGCAGAGCAGATGCAGAACATGTAGTACTTATACACATAGGCTACTCTCTGTGGGTGACCAAATACCTCAAGACCACCAGAATGGTCTTATGTGGGATGGAATTATTGGCTAACGTTCAATGTTTGATTCAGCCTTGTGATGACAAATCTCTACATCGCTAGTTACTCAGCTAAAGTTTAGAAGTGTCCCCACCAGTTCTGTAGTTCTCCAAACAAAACCTCCACCTGAACACATTTTCTTTGGAGGACTATGGATGTCTTCTGGCTGGATGAGTTTTGGCCTCCCCCAAGTGGCAGTCCCTGTAAGTACCTTTCTTTTCCAAGTCATAGAGACGCTGCTGCCAGAAACTTCTGAATGGAGCAATTCCTGTTCCTGGGCCAATAAGAATGCACGGCTTGGCTGGCTCCTTTGGGAGCTGGAATCCATCAGCACTAACATGCAAAAATATGTTAATTAGGTAAAGTAAAGCTCAGAATAAAAGTATTCCTAGAAAGTTGACAGAATGATACTTAGTGATCATCTCTGCTGCTTTGAATCTTCTCTTATTATGCTTTGTATGAGAGGATAAATGTATCTTGAAGGACTGAAGAATCAGATTCTCTAGTTTTTTTACAAAATAAACATTGATAAGTGCCCAGTGATTTAGGAGAGTAATCATCAGTGATTTTGTAGAAACAATTGGCTTCAGCCCTCACCCGAGGTCACAAGGTATGGCTGAAATACATGTTAGAAAACAGGACACGATCACCTCTACCCTTTGCCCCTTCCTTCTCCCCAACCCATCTGCACCACAGGACATACGGTGACACTTGGGAGTAACTAAGAAAACGTGTCTGAATGGACTTCTAAAAGCACTGAACAATTTCCTTCATTAGAATCCAATAAAATTTCCATTAGTTTCCTGAAAATTTCATGGGAATTAACTTCAGGAGGCATCTAGGGAAAGAAGCTTCACAGAATTATACAGCAAGTATTTGCCTAACCATTCTTATTCCATGATGTTCCTTGGCTTCTTCCTATGGCATACACTCACCTGCGCACAAAGCAAGGGACTGTTTCATTGAGAGCTATTTTGTTCAGCCACGTGCTGCAGACTCCATGGTGCAATGGCCCTTGTCCATCTAATCAGAGGAAAAGAAAATTATTTGTAAGCATTCAAAAGCTGTTTGCTTTTTAAAAAACAGTTTCTATTTAACATTATGCTTATAAACAAGAATATAAATGATCTAGTAATCATTTATAAAACAAGGACATACCAGTGATGCACTATTTTAACAAATCCTGATACAGCATGAGTATCTGTACTGCTGTGTACTATTCTGCACGTATCACAACACAAACTTTCTGTTACAGATATGTTTCATGTCATTTAGCATACACAGATTTTTCTGAACCACAACACAGACTAAATATCATTTAACTGAGACAGAAATTTAAAAAACACAATTCGTTACCTCTTGTCCTGTAGTTTACCACAGCAACTGTCAGATGAATCTCTCTGGGTGTCATGTCACAGGAGGAACTGACAGAGTAGTATCTGGGTTTCAGAAGTGGCAGCTGAGTCAGTAAGAAAGCTGTTGAGACTTCAGCAGAAGGAAACTCTTCCAGGACCTCCAGGATGTTCGGGCTGTTGTAAAACTTCCATTTATTGTATTCTTCTGTGCTCTAAAAGCCAAAAGCCACTATCACAATATTACCAGGCCCCATGCTGAATTCAAGAGAGCAAGGATGTTTGAAAAGTAACTTTTAAAATAAGATTCCTATTTTATATACAATTAAATATGAAATAAACTGCAAATCAGCAGAGAATTCTCAAAACCATCCCTAGACTAATACTTGGGTTTCCTGAAAACATTGTTTGATTTTTGGAAACAGAAATATCCACTGTCATTTTTCTCACATATACGTTCTCTCAGAGAGGATACAGAAACCAAAGTAGAAGCTGCTTTTCAGCCCCCTGGCTATGGGATATCTAGAAAACTGTGTAGGCTCAGGTCTGGTTGAGCCCTTACTGAGTGCTTGCTGATCCCAGCAGAACAGAGCAGTTACCACACCTATGAGTCTTTGGTTACTTGAAGTGACATTGCTTCTACTTCATTGGTATCAAATTCTGTGAAAAAATAAAAATACCTAGCAGCTCCTCTGCAATCTCTCCCTCTACAAACTCTGAGATTTTTTAATGGTGTCTCATCAGAAACCACCAGGGCAGGCAAGAGAATCAGGCAGGCAAAATGACCCACCCACAACCATACAGGAAATACCAGACCTGAAGAAAACTCCTGATTCCCACACAGGTTAAGCCATAAGATCACTCCTTCTTTCTCTCACCATGGTTGGTTTAACACACTCACAGCATATGTAACAGAGGAATGGAAATCAAACACCATCACTACAAGCATTTCTAAAGCTTCTGCTTTTGAAAGGCACCAAAAGATCCATTATGGAGCACGTTTAGTGTAACTTCAGCCTAATACTTACATGACATAAAACTTCCAGTCTCTGTTTGTCTCCTTCCGCTCTTACCAGCTGGGAGAGTTTTTTTAGAAGTTGTTGGGAGGGTGAAGTAGTGATATCAAGGAAATATGTCAAAGCCTGGGAGAGAGTGCAAGCTGGAATCTTTTTCTGGCTTGCCCAATAGCCACCTGGAAACAAGGGAAGTAGAAGATCATGTGGCAATTCCCAAGGCATTTAACAACTGTAGTGCTATGCAAAACTCAGTGTCTTTTAAAATATGACTTCTGATTAGGTTGCATACAGATCTGAACCACAGATTAATGTGAGCTTTCAAGCTTTTTGTGAGTAGAGAATCTGATGCAGAGAACCACTCTGTAATAAAGCACTATGTTTTAAGCAAAAAGTATGATGGAAATCATCTTTCTGTGTGTTCAGAGTCCCATGATTTCACAGACTGCAGCTACTAAGATGTAAAAAAAAAAGGTCATGACATGTAAATCCATGTTAAGGATACACACATTGATATGTAACAATGATAAGGAAACTGTAGACTAATTTCACTGCAGTCAATAACCAATTTAGGAACTAAATCACAAATAGTGTCAGCCCAAAATATCAGACAATGCTGGTGAAGTTACCATGAACTGCCTTAGGACATAAAAACAGAATCTAGAATTAGAGGAATACCTAAAAGCATCAGCAAAATCCTAGTGAAACTTAAAAGGAGGATAATATAATCAAATTCAGCCTATTAAAATTCTCATGAATTTTAGGAAAACCCATCAAATATCCTCTGTTATCAAATGTGAAGGGAACCAACTTACCTTCAGTACAGGTTTCAAGTCTGATAATCTGATCAGCTGGAGGGGCATCCTTAACACGTGCAATGAGGCTGTGGACTAATTCTGGCTGGTTGCCTGGGAAAATCCCAATATGTTCTCCAGGCAGGTAGTGCACTTCCTGATTAGACTCACAGGAAAGCTTAACTAGAATGGTAACACGACTAGATATAGAAAAAAAGAGATCATTTAGATCATGATTACATTGACAGGAATTCCCTTAAATTACATAGAAAAGACATAAATGTGAAGTGACAGTTGGCAAGGGCTTACTGTTCATTATCAAATCATCAGATCAGCTTAGTAATTCATGGAGACTTAAGCAAAAACAGTATAGACATGTGAAGGACTTCTATGAAAACAAATAAGATGCTGAAGTGCTGCCTGATCTGTCCAGTATGCCTGCAGTCAGCCAACGGCAGGAAGTGCAGCTCTACTGAAGACTGAATAGCTCACACATTACAGCAGCTCAGAGCACATCCTGTAAGATGACTGCATTTAGAACAGGGATGAGAGAGACTTCCTGGAGGATGCTGAAGAGGCATTCATGGATGCTATTTCTAAGACAGATGCCGTGCACTTATTGTCCTTTTGTATTTTTATGTTGTCTCATCTCAGCTTGCTTTTAATACAGCTTCTTGTACTGAATCTCTTTCCACCCTCAACTGTTTTTTTCCCTCTATTAAGGGGCAATTTGGTTTTTCCTAAATGAAGTAAATATTTGTCAGGCACGTGGCAGATCAAGCAAAGGAGAGGGACCTTACACTGTCCTTCCACATTTAGTAGATATCAGAGGGCCATATTCATCAGGTTATTTAGTCCCCTCTGCTGCCAGAGACTTCACTGGGAAATCAGCTACTATCTACACAGAAGCGAAGTCCCTTACTATTGTCGTGGTCTGGTGATCAGTTTTTATTTCTACTAAGGACGGTACAAAATTTGAGCATATTTCTCAGTAACACAGGGAAGAGATGTTTATAACAAAATATTTTAATTGTTTAAGATTTTAATAAAATGTACAATATTCAAAGAAATGAGGACTCATACCTGGATTTGAAACTCTGAAGATTCTGTCTGAATTTCAGCTTCATGGGAATTATATCCTTTCCATGAATGTCTGCCAGTGCTGTTGAGAAAAGAGGACATGACTAATGAGAAATTGTGTCACTAGGTTTGTTTAATAGATCTTCCAAGAACTCAGAGAATAGAACTGAACCACCTGCTCTAAAACACCATATACTTCTCATCAGCCACATGTCCTCTATGCACAGCTTCTCTGACTAAAAGTATCTCAACTCTAATTCTTCTGGGATTGTCAAAATGTACACCAGATCTGGTATTCTGATGTTTTTGTGCTGGAAGATGTAATGACTTATTCACTGTAAAATGATATCTTTTTTTCTTTGACCACTGTTTCATTACAGGAATTCTACCATCCAGCTATAGTATGACTGTTATCAACATCAGACAACCTTTCCAATTCTGACATAAAGTAAATGAAGTAAAATTGATAGAGGAAGCAGAAAGTCAGAACAAATACCTTTAGTCAAGTCCATGGTTTGAGAGTCATGTACTATCCTGTGTTTCTTAGGATTCCAGCTGTCATCTGATGTGTATATCTCAGGTAACTGAATACTGGTTTTCCCACGGATATCAAAAATGTCACAGGCAGTCTAGAAAAAAGTAGTAATTATGACTATTCATGGAAAATAAATATTCTTAGTGTTGTCATATGTTTGTTGTTCATTCGCTGGTGCTATGTTTATGGGGAGATTTCAGTTTCACTGACTGTTGTTATTTATTGAATTTGTTGAATTCAGTAATGCTATAGGATTTCAGCGAGTTTCCACTTCTACATCAATCTTGCTAAAAAAAAAAAAAAAAGATCTACTTAGCAAAATTTAGAGGTCTGATGCTACTGCCCTTACTTTTCTGGGCATCTCATTATCCAAAAGTTTTTGGGGAACTATGTGAGTACTAACAAATTACAGAAAAGGGATTTCATTTCCCTTCCATTTAGATAACCAGCAGATGAAAGGGAAGTTTAAAATTCAGATAGCAAGCCATCTCTGCTTTCCTTCATTATTCCCTGTTTTTCTGGGATGCCAAGACCAAAATAATTGAAATGAATGAATTAACTAATACATAAGCTAGATATTTATGTAGTCACCTTGAACGCAGTGACTGCCCATGTGCGAAAGGCTTCTTCTTGACCATTGAGTTCATCTCCTTCACCCACTGGAGTGAGCTGCAAAGCCCCCAGTTGGGACAGTTTGTGGTCAATGGCATGAGCAAAGGCACAGAACTCAGGATACATGGTGGACCCCAAGCCAAACACAGCGTATCTGCAGAAGGAGATGCAAATAAGATCACTATGTTATGGTGAATGAAAAACAAAAGAATTCATCTTAAGTAAACAAAATAACAAATTATTTTTACCTAATTTTTTTTCTCAGCAATTTCATGGTGAGCAAGGAGTTCTTTAATGCCTGCATAAAAATTCATAAAACATTTAATGTTAGAAAAATACTCTTTCATTTAAAAGAGAAGTGAGACTCTGATCTACACCTTACTTTCATACATAGAAATGAATGACTGACTTTGATACACAGAATACCCTGAGATGAAAGGGACCCAAAAGAATAATCAAATCCAATTCCTGGCTCCACAAAAGTTTACTTATAAATTAAACCATACATCTGAGAGTGTCGCCTAAACACATCTTGAACTGCAGCTTCTTGGTGCCATGGCCACTTCCCTAAGCAGCTGTCCCAGTGCCCAATTATACTCATGGTAAAAAACCCTCTCCTATTTCTCAGTCTTAATTTCCCCTGAAGCAGCTTCATGCTGTTCCCTCAGGTCCATGACTGGTTCAGAAAGAACTCTGAGGTGCTCATCTCAGCATTCTCTGAGCTGAGTTGCCATGTGCTTCTGAGGCAAGCAGTACCTTTCCATTATTTGGAGAATCTCCATTTCCAAAAGTGCTGGTAACCACTAAAAGAAGAGTTTCTTTTTCCAAGTCACTGATGTTGTACTCATCCATGCACAGAATCTGGAAGATATAAAGCTCATGAGAAACTGCTAGGTGACATAAGAACTTGTGTTAGATCTCTCTGTTGTCAGATGACTGTTGACCAAATTTACAAGGCATTATTCTATATGAAAGAAGTCAGAATCTAAGATCTAACTTACATTTAGCAGACATACAAAACGCAGGCTTAGAGAATGAAAGATCTCGCAGAAGCTGATATAACTAGGCAAACCTCATCTTCCGTTTAGTTTAAGTGACCTGTATTTCCTCACCTTAGTGTTGAAGGCACAGCTGAACAAACTGCACAGATTGCTGGCTAATGTTTCTGATTTCCCAGTCTCTGTTGCATAGATCACAGTCACCTTGGACCTGGCTGCCATTGTTTTTCGCAGGAGCAGTGACGCAAAGAGTACAGCCCTGAGGAAAGAAAGCACATCATGTATCGCTTTGAACATAGCTGTGTAGAAACTCAGGCTGGTGCACAAGCAGTTTCCTAGATAAGGCTCCTTTTGGGCATGGGTATTCCTTGGAAGATTGCTAAGAAGCAATGCAATACAGAAAGCCCCGAATACGAACATTAGATATGAGCATTACCTAAGCGTATACATGCAAGTCTATAGTTCAAACATACCAGGTCATCCCTACTGTAATAATTATCAAAAAATGTGTAAGGGAAGCACCAGAAAAATAGAATATTTCAACAAAATCATGATGTTTATTTGAGCAACTTACTTGGCCAAAATGCTCAACTTTATTTCTCTTTTCTTTGGCCGACGGCTCTCATCATGCCAGATGTGTGTTTTCCATGCATCCACCTTCAATTAAAAAAAACTGTGTTTCAGATAAGAAATGTGAAACAACAAATACACAATTTGTGCACAGGTGAAAGGGAGAGATTTGACAGATCTACATCTATGATTTGCTGCCTGTACAAACACTGACCATCTCTACAGCACTAAATAGCATTATATTTATAGCCTAGGAATTCAACAGAACTAAAATTATCTCACGCAGTAAAAGAGAAATTGCTTGTTCTTTTATGAATTTATCCAGCAAACTTTGATTTGTATGCACCAAGACTAAGAGCAGTGTGAGTAATAGGAGCTTTTCATTCAGACTCTTCTGTATCTCACATTATCATCTGCACTGCTGAAGTTGTGTGCTAGAATCTTTATTTTTTTTTGACGTGTACCTGGTAGTAAAAGAAGGGAGTGAGGACGTAGTTCAACATCTCCTGGTGGAACACAGGAGTTATGCTCCCTGACATAGGAGGCACAATCCACACCCAGTCAGCTGGGCAGCCTCCTCGCACACGGTACTCATTCTGCATGTATTTCATGAAGGACTCAGCAGCTGAGTGATGATCCATGATAGTAACATTTTGTTGCTAGAATAATTGCAAAAAGAGAAATACATATTTAAAAAGTCCATTCCATAGTAAAAGTAATCCTTTTGCTTGCTTAATATTCCAAGGAATTTATACAGTGTTGGGAAATATTTATTACTAACAACTATAAAATGAAGATACGGGTGGACCTTTGACTAAGAATTTTATTAAGTCCTTTTTTATTTATTTTTAACATCAGCATTTTACCTTTCCAGCATTGAGAATGCATGCTGAAAAGGCTATGTTTCATTTTTACCCATCTTTCATAATGTCATGATACCTTAAAAAGACTAATTGTGAATGAAATACATGAATTCCATGGCTTTATGTAGATTTTGACACTTAGACATCTGGGCTAATAAGATGAACAATCTTGCCTTTAGCTTCCTTTTTGTTTTTTTCTCACTTTCCCCTCTATCCGAGTTTTTTTCTGGCAACAACAGGGCATTTACATTCCCCTGCTTTCCCAGACACAGACAGATAATAAGTACATTGGAATTATATTGGTAACCTCCTGTACATCGAGTGTTGGCACTGGCACTAGCTTTGTATAAAGCTGTTGTTGTAAGTGAAATGAAAAAACAGAGTATTCAAAGTGTTTCCAGATACCAGACTCACTGACTTACCTGGAAGCTATGAAGCACAGCCACATTTATCTCTACAACAGCTCGGTCCTTCCACAGTGATGCAAGTTTGTTGGTTTCCAGTCCCATTCTTCTTCCAACCTCCTATAATTGGAAAAGAGAGAGAAAAGGGAAAAGCAAATTTACTATGCTCTATATACACGTCCTGATTTCTCCACCTCTTCACATTAACATGCAGATAAAAATATTCGAGAAAGGTCAACCTTATGCTGGAGAAAGTGAGAGCCACACAGACTTGGTATCAGAGGTATCATGTGACCTCTATTCTGGTTTGGAGAAGGAAGAGGGGCTCTGCCGGACCGAACGAGTAGGGAATGACAGCATCTGGTTCTAAGTCATTATTATTAATTTGCAGAGGGAAGGAGCCCAAGACATGCAACTAACATCCAGGACTCCATTGCCTTGTCAGCAGCAGACTGGAACTAATAACAAATCCATTCTCTCCCCACTTCAGGAGATTACCTTCAGGATGTTGTACCGCTGCACGTCACAGAAGTCTCGCACTCCAATCTCTGTGCCCATGTACCAGCCATTGAAAGGACATGCAGTGAATTCCAGGCCTCCCACCTCAAGGAGCATGTTGGCAACCGCAGGCAGAGCATACCACTTCAGATCCAACTCCTTAAACCATTCATATCTGTTAAATAAACACTTAATCTGTTACTTTATGTATTCCTCCCTTAGGCAACAACCAGAAAAGCCCAGGAAGTGAAAGATCACTGTCTCTAGGGAGACCAACCCATGAAGCAATCTGCGAAAGCTTGTAGCAAAGTTTTCACATAGAACGTGGTAACTGGGAATGGCCTGCTAAGGAAACTGATGAACAGTATGACAGAGTTCTGCGATCTGCAGCCTGCTACCAAAGCAAAGATGAAGCAAGAAATAAAGAAAAAAAAAAGGCAATAAGCATTTTGTTGCAAGTGCAACCATATTTTACATGCATTCCACTGGCATTAGAAGCTGTGTTGCTTTTGTGTGTCTTTTGTTTTTTGGTTGTTTTTTAATTCTGAATCTGATTGAAATGCAGAATATTAAAAAAAATCCAACAGAACTACCACAGACTTTGTTAATTTAAATCTCATTTTACTGTTCCAACAGGCATTTTGTCTTTCAGGACAATTTACTGTAATTTCATCCTAACAAAGAACTCAGAAAATGACTGCCACAAGCACAGGATAAGCACGTGCCAGGGTGAGGCAGAGGCAAAAATGCGATTAGCTACACCTGGTGTGCTTACTTTGGATGCTCCATTGGCACTTCAAGGATAATCTCTGGCGGGTATTCAAATATTTCTGGATCTTGGCCGTTTGCTTGGAGAACGAGTGGAACTACATCAAAGCGGCCATACTTCGGCTTCCACCCAAGCTCAATGCACAACTGTAAGTAAAGAAAGAGAATTTCTTTTTTGAAGTCTTCCCTCCTGTTAACCCTCTGAGGTAAATTCTCAGTGCTAAAGGTTGTCTTCCCACTCAAACAAGACCAAGATTTAAGAGGAGTTTTAGCTCTGTTCTGAGATGGAGGGGAGTATTTCACTGCACAGTAACAAACTGTTGCTTCAGCCTGCACCTAGAATCTGTGGGGCAGGAAATACATAGCTCCCTCCCAGACTGCATAAAAAAAAAAACAAACAAGAAAAATAAATGAAACACGGGTGAGTTAATCAAGATGGAAAACAGTTACGATTCTGTATTTGGAACTCTACCTTTGTGAACTCCACACTTGCAGGGTCTCCTATGACAGACCCATCTGGCATCTGATATCCAGCGTATCGGATGAACTGGCTGTTCCAAACACGGAAATCATGTTTCCCATCAGTCCTCTGAGGGAAGATAGTGATGGCTGATCTGCTCAGAGAAATGATTCAACCCAATTACATCACAGCAGCACATCAAACACATTCTGATTATTAAGATACAAATTGTTACTGGCAGCAATTATTTTACATTTCTAAAATAAACATCATTAAGAATAAAATCACTCATTCTTTCCACTCATCTCCCCGAATCTTCAAATCATTTATTTCCCCAGGAACTGTGAAGGATTTTTGCAACATTAGCCACAAATGTTAAAAACTTTCAAAATGGTTGATGGTACATGTGAGAGGAACATGTAAGTATCAGAAGAATTAAGAGCACAGACAAGTTGTCAAAATATTTAGATAGATCACATCAGGTCTATTGCAGAGTTCTGAAACCAGACCTAGATGGAATTTTTGTTATTTAAAATTCAAATGAAATAAAAGAGATCTACCTTATATTTCCATTGTTTGTGGCAAACTGAATATGGCGACAGATATATTCAAACATTTCCTTGGCTGTTTTACAATCACGTGCATCAAATACCTGTATGTTTCCCCCAGAAAGGTAAAGAAAAAATTAATTTGAAAGAATAATACAAGCATGTTATTTTTCTAACACAGCTAAGGATAGGAAATCAGTATTTCTCAATTCACTTCTAGGAAAGGTTTATTTTTTACCTTTCTTTTATTTTCACATGTAACAACTCTCCAAGCCCAAGAGATGGACCTCCTTCCATAACTTGATTGGTTCTTAAATGTAACCAATCCTATATAAGTTTTCCTTCTACTACAGAGCAGAGAAGTTCAAGAAAATATTGATTTTATGATATGGACAGGAAAGACAGTCCTCAATTGAAGCAATTGGCACATTTTACCAATGTGCAGCAGACAGCTATTCAGCCATAATTGTTAGAGTCATAAGCTACCTGTAGATTGGACCACTGAATCCTCCCAATACACCTTGGAGCATTCCTCCAGGCCTGTTTGGCAGCAAAGATCAGTTCATCCTTTGTCAGATGGTAGGTTCCTGTTGTTTCTATCTCTTTGGTCACTGTTTCTAGTCGGGCCAGGTGCTCTTCTATTTTTAACCTGTTAAAGAGGAAACAGCCATGAAAAGAAACAATGAAAATTTCAATACTTACAACTGATCTAAATTGCAGATGCCTCTTTTGTTCTGGGTCAAGAAGAGCTCAGACACTGCAAAAAACATCAAGTTTTGGATGTTTCGGATGTTTTTTGCAGTGGCAAAGCATCTTTTTGCAAGAGACCTTCATCTGCATTGGTGATTTTATGTACTAGTATGCAGGTAGAGCCCATTTCCAAGGAGGGGGTTGGTATCTATACTGCTTCAGATAGTGCAAGTTTGATATACACTGAGAAATCCGTCCTTCTCAAGTATCCTCACTATCTGGGTGTGAAATGGGTCAACATATTTTCTCATTTATGAAAGCATTCATTACCTCAAAAGATGAGCAATCCCACCATGTTCCAGGCATGAGAAGTCCCCATCATCTGCTCCCAAATCCTCTCTATTGCACTACACTTCTGTCCCCAAACTACAACTATTATCTATTGCAATAGCAGAGGATCTGAAATTTTTTATCCAAAGCAGTGGATGTTCCTGGTAAAGGGATGAGTTAAATACACAGGATTCTAACTGAGGTCTGATCAAGTGACTTTTTTGTGGCTTCTGAATTTAGGAATTGGCCTTACTGAGTACAAATGACAGCTTACTAGCCTCATGAATGAACTACCATAATAGAAACTGAACTTGTAACACTGCCCTTTCACCACGCAATGCAAATATCCATTGATGACAAGTTTTTCTGTGCAAATTTTCAGTTTAAATTTGGATTTTCCAAACTAGTTTGGTAAAAATGTCAAACACAATCACACAGAACTTAGAAAATAGACCAGCTTCAGCCCGACATGGGAATAACTGACTGTTCCCTCAAAGTTCAATTACTTTCACAGGGCCAGAAGTCTTCTGAGCAAAGTAAAGCTCTGACACACAAAAAAAAAGGAAGTGCTGAGCAATTATTTTGTTAAGGAAACCAACTCTAATTTTTTTTAGTTTGATAATAGAAAATGAAGTCAAAACATTAGCAAATATTTATCACAGCACAGACAAAAATTGTTTTGTTGGTCTACAGACAGAATGAAAATAGCCTGCACTGTCTGAGAGTTTTCACATTTTCAGCAAGATGAAAGATCAAGGGCAAGCACATAAGACCATGCAAATCAATGTGATCAAATACCACAGGCACAGAGACGTGCAAATGTAATACTCTGGCAAGCAACCATAGTCTGTATGTAACACAGGAATTTTCTGAGAGATTCTGTTGGAATAAAGCTTTGTAGAAGAGTTCAAAGTCTCTAAAGAAGAAGGCATTATGTGGCTGAGTCCCTTTGAAATCCCAATAATATTTTATAGTGAAATATGCAAATGGTGAATTGTCACCGAAAGCTTGTCACTTGAAAACTTTGTCACTGCAAATTCTTGGACCTCAGGCAGCTCTTCCAGCTTTTCCTGCAACAAGATCTCTCTGCACCATCTCTATTTTTGTAAAAACACACAATCCTGAAGCTAAAGCATTGCTCTCAGCATGCTCAGTAATCTTATGTTGATGATAACACAGAGCAAGGTTGAGAAGCTCTGTGGCATCACCCGTCCTTCCATACTTTGGCCAAAGCCTTGAAAACATACAATAAAAGAACAGAGAAAAGATGCTTGGAACAGCACAAACTGCAAGCATTACCCACATGTCTAAGACTAATCTGAGAAGGGGACAATCCCATTAACATCCAATGTTAAGAAAACAGAAAGTCACGTTCTGAAAGAGCCCTGAAGAACCTGCTTATTCTAGCATACTATAATGCAACACACTCTGAAGGGATGGGGCTGAGAAATGCACTGAAAGAGTCCACGGTAGTAATCTCTAGACCTACGATTGCAGAAGCAGAAGATGAAGTGCAGTAATGATTCTGTTCACATTTTTAATAATCGCCTCTTTTTTGGAAGCATGCTATATAACTGCCAATACCTCTGAAGAAATTAAGCAGCCTAGTCCCACACACAGGTAGGAAGGCAGAGGATTTTTATTCCACAAATGAAGATACAGTTAGCTTACTCTTTAAATGAACTGTAGTACTGCTTGACAAAGTCTATTGCCTGAGGTAGAAGCTCTGCTGGAGGAACTGGCCCATCTCTAGTGCCTCTCACCAGGCTCTTTGGGGTCATGAGTGCTCCTTGGCAAGCTTTGGTCCGACAATTGATAACCTGAAAAATAATAACATTTTACAAAGCAATGTCACACTACAGATCTTCAGAAAGTTCAGAAAAATTACTGCTTAGGCTTCTGTCTTACCTCCTTTGCTGTCAGGTGTAATGTGTCAAGAAGGCTGGATCCGTTTTCCAAGTTCCTTACTTTTACACGTCTAGGACATGTTGATATTTGGTTTGAAGCTTTGATACCATTTTGTGGGGGTTTCTGGCCATAGAAAAGATAAAAATACACACTATCTTCACAACTATTAAATATCATAATGCTTCAATTTTATTTATATGTTACTATTGAATACTACAACTTAAAGGCAAAGACTGATGTGATCTTCTCCAACAGGACTATTTATTCATTTGAGTATTAAACTATTGACCTGATCTACAGCTTGATATGAAACAGCCAAAAGTGTTTTTGTACTAACCAAACAGTATTTGCCACTACAAACAGCTTTGTAACTTTAAAGTCATAGTTTTGGAAAAAAAAAAAAAAAAAAAAAAAGCAAATCAGACAAAATTAGAGAAAGGACAAAGCTTGGGTTTCAAAGGAGTAAAGGAATTTGGCACTCCAGTCCTACTGACTTAGCAAAGCACCTTTTCATTCAGAAAAGAGTTTTCATCCAAAGATCTCACATCATCCCTAACCTCATGTCACCACAGTTACTCCTTGCATGAGAACTCTGAAAGTTCTGAGCAGCAAGCACAATCTGTGTGAACTGTCAGTATCAGTGAAACTAGAAACAGACCCCGCTCCATCACTGACCTCTGCTGAAGTGATTACAGGTGACATCTCTATCTGCTTCTTGCTTATACTGTGTAATTTGGCATCATCTTTCACAAAGCTTTAAAAGACAAAAAGACAATACAATAGAAAGCAATATGCTTAGTTTTTACTTTTAAGTTTTTATAGCACACAAACGCCTCCACAGTCCCAGCATACATGTAACCATTAGGGCATACCAGATAAATTTAGAACCATGACAGTTAATTACAATGCTTTATTTCCTCAATGAGGTATACAAAAGCTTAAATGTACCTCAGTAAACCAATACCACCTTACTAAATCAACACCGCCCAATGCCCCCAGGGATAACTGCTCCTTTGTTAAAGTTACTGCAGTGGAAGCACACAACAGTATCTTTCCTTTTCAAACAAAAGCAAAACCACAGAACTGTGACAAAGATCTTACCCATGGAACTTTGTATCTTTCTCCACGTTATTATTGATATCCTTCTCTTCAGAGGACTGATTCTTAGCAACACGAGGTTTGAATGCAAACTGCCATGGGCACAGCATTTTGTACACTTTATTTATGCTTTTACTTCACAGCGCTGAAATCTTGTTTTGTGCGATGTGGGAACGCTTCTGAGGAGAGAATAAAACCACAAGGTCAGTTTTTGACTAAGAAGGTAACTCCCTTTGAGAGGATGCAGAAACTGCAGATTAGTGAATTTGATCTAATTAACTTTCAGCATTTAAAAAGGAAAAATTACTTGATACTTATAGTAACGACACAGTGACAAGGAGAACCGTTATTTTTAGTAATGCCACAGCCATGTTTTACTCTATTATTAGGTAAATGATAGCATAAAACAGCCAACACATCCACGCTTAAATTCTCTGAAAGACACACCTTGAAATGTTCTTTGTTTTTCAAAAGTTTGTAATGTGTCATTAAATGTTGTACTATTTCATATCACTGCATCTATGCAAGAAAAAAAGGATGTAAAATTTTGCTGTTATTCATATAGTGATTATCATCAGAAAAAAAAAAGTTTTTAAATTAAATCAAAGCATTTTGCAACGTATTCAGTTGTCTGAACCAAATGGAATTCTAAGATGCTGAATTCTGTATGTTGTGAGATATATATACATGGCAGTGTTTGAATGTAAAATCTAGCATTTATATAAGACTGTAAGCAGCTTATTTTTATTTACTATAACATAGATTTTCTGCCAAAAGGAGATTTTTGTGCCAGTGAAGGTGTGTCAGGAAAAAAGGAGCTAAGCAAAAAATTGCTTGGTAAAGCAGAATTAGTCACAGAGTTTGTGTGTTTCATAAGTCACATTTTAGGCCAGGATGCTGTGTGCTGTCAAACCACGCAGGAAAATAAAAGAATGTAACAGTCTGTGCAGAAACTGAAAGGTGCTAGAACTAGTCTGTTAACCCAAGTAAAATACACAGGGTGCAATAACCATTTGTGTACTGTTACAAAATAGGAACACATCTAGATCACTATATTGCAATAAAAAATGCTGCAGTGTGTCTGTGTGTTATTACAAATTATATTACTGTGTGTCATTTTAAAGCATGCAAAAATGAAGAGGGAAGAAGAAAAACAAAGAAAAAGAAAGATGAGAAAAAAAAGAAAAAAGAGAAATAAGAAAAAAAAAGAAAAAATAAAGAGAACAGTAAAGAGGGTGAAAGAAAAAGCACGAACCAGAGAGAACAAGAGAGAAAAAAAAGACATTAAAAAGGATGTGCATATTTTCCATTCATTAGCAATTAGTATATAACTTGCTTGCATTTTATGCTTTCACAACAGAGTTGCTCAAAGAACATTTATGGTATTACCCATTTCACCCACAAACCTTTAAAGTCTGCTGGAAGAGGGATGAAGTTTTCAGAGTAGCAGGATAGCCTGGAAATAAAAGGAGACTGATTCCATTGAGACACAGAGAGACAATTCCAATGAGACACAGTGCCCTTACCGTGTTTTTGTGAGAGATGTTTCCAAACCTGGAGAGGGACTTCTCTGTGCAAGTTGGTTTCTTTCACTCTCTCCTGCTCTGTATCCCTCCTGTGAAGCCAAAGCATTTTATATACCCTAGAGCTATGCATGCAAAACAGCAGATTGAGACTACAAATAGACAGTGGTCAAAGGGGGAATCCCTAAAATTCCCACACTCTCTGAGGAGGGAGGGCACGGAGCCGAGGTGCTGCTGCTGCATTACGTATTGAATAACCAGTGACAGAGCTGTTGACTAATTCCTTGATCTTACAAGTATCCCTTCCCTCACATAGTGTGCTGCAATCCTGACTCCTACAGTTCTCAGTCGTAGATGCAGGAAGCACTTTTTCGCAGAAGTCTGCAGGCAATATTAAAAAAGAAGAAATACACCCTGAAGGAGCTCATATTGTGCCCCTAGGTGGCTGTTCTCCTGTACACTCAGCTAGGAGCTGCAGGACTAACTCTGTGGCTTTCATAATGAATTTAGAGCAATTTTACAGAATCATAGACCTTAAGGAGATTGACCAGTAAAGTGTTTAAATAAACACTTAAACTTAAGACAGGTATTTTAACATGAATATACACTTGGTAATATATTAGTTCCTTATTTTTGGTATAATCTTAAGAGACTTTTATCAATAGAGCATTTGTAGAATTCTTTCCTCTACAAGTCTCCATATTGCAGTCATTGCTGCCTGTGAGGTTTGCCCTTTTGTGTTCTACCAACATGTTAACTTGGAAGGAAACTGCAACTCTCTCTCTGTTCATACAATGTTGTATATGTAAACACCAGGAGGACAGACAGATGATGAAGGTGGGACTACTGAGCTGATTTTAGACAAAATGTGGATATAAATAAAGTACAGAGTTGGGTTTCCCCCCAAGTTCTAGAAGGCACAAGCAATCTGGGATCTGACAGTGGCATACAGAACACAGAGCTTTTAGGCAGCTGCTGACTCAGAAATACTGTAGTATGTCAGTCCCAAAGTCTCAAGGACTTTATCCTGAGTTGTTTCCTCATGAGCATTATGTATGACTGGATAATGCCATGTTATAAAACTTCCTAGGTGTTTTCAAATTACAGTAATAAAGACAGAAAGATTTACATGTTCTGATCAAGGGTCTGCAGAAATTTGGCACAAGGCTATACAAGAAACAAGGAAACAGATTCTCTTTTCATTTGCCACTTTTCTACTGGGCAAGCTTGGGCAAGGCATTTTTTTCTCTATGTCTCAGTTTGCTATTTAGAAGTGAATATTAAGTGCTTGTGTAAGGCACTCACTGATGAGGTTACAGGTACCTGGGTTCATGCATGAATACACCTGTATTTATATCACATTCAGGGTTGCAAAGAAGAACCTCTTGAAACAGAGACTTGAGTTGTCCATAGTTTGAGCACTCATCTGCTTGATCGTATCATGCTTGTGTTCTCTGCATTCACTGCTCATGAATGCTCACATTTTTTTAAATAACTGTGTGTCAGTGGTCAAATTGAAAGCGTCAGAACTGTAAAAGAAGTTCAGAAATGAAAAACAAGGTTATATTAATCTTACAGTTGCTGTTTTGTCAGGATTTAAAAATTGCGTGTATTCTTTCATTTTTTATTAAATCTAAATTTAATAAATTTAAATTTATTAAAGCATAGAGAATCTTCACACAGTACTGAAAAAAAGATGCATCTTTGTAGATATTTAAATGATTTCAATTTCTAAGATTTTATTATACACCCTTCCTGCTTCTCCTTGATTGGAGACTGCTGAAAACAAAGAAAGGCTACACAGGGGTTTGGTAAGAAAAGTCACATTTAGAATTACCAGAAGAGGAGGAACATCTTTCCTCTGAGCACTGCTTAATGTACTGGCAGTAGATATAGCCATTCAGTGAACTGTTTATTCACCAGTTTTTCAAGCAGGACCTATTCTTTTACTCACCAAAACCAGCAATAAAAATCTCACCACACTTTTCTCAGGTGGAGCCAGAGATTAGCAAAACAAACTCACAGTGTCCTCTTTCCACAAACATTCCATGGTGTCTGCAATATTCCTTCATCAGAAAACCAATTCCACAGATTTTGTTTTATTGCCACTTGTGCCTCTGCCGTAACAAAGTGCAAGAAGTACTTGCTCTTCTTATATTAACTTTGATGACAGAGGTGCCCTTTCAGAACAGAATGTTTGACCTATTCTGCAATTTCATGAAAAATCAAGTCACATTTTTTGACTGCAATATTCTGCATCAACTTCAGAAGCTGTATTCTTGAAAACATTTAAATAACAAACTGTATTTGTATGGCTGCTCCTCAGAGATCAGACAAACGTAAGTCCTAAAAGGTCTACTAAACTCAGGCAAAGCTGATGATAATGAGCTTATTTTATTAACTTCACGTATCCCAAAGACACACTTTTCCATTGTTTCAACTTTTCCTAAATCACTAGAGATTTTCTTCTAATTTCTCTTGCCTATCAATCTACATGAGACATGCCTACACTGACCTTTCAGAAACATTCCATACAACATCACAAACTAGAAATGTAACACTGCAGCCATCTCCGAACATTTGTCATCTCAGAAGATCTAAGACTTTAAATATTCGACCTATAGAATCATAGAAAGATTTGGGTTGGATGGGACCTTTAAAATCATTCCCACCCCCTGCTACAGGCAGGGACACTTCCCCTCTCGCTCAGGTTGCTCGCAGCCCCATCCAGCCTGGCCTTGAGTGCTTTCAGGGAGGGGGTATCACAGTCTCGCTGGGCAACCTGTTCCTCACATGTCTCACCACCCTCACAGTAAAAAACTTCTTCCTGATATCTCGTCTAAATCTACCTCTTCTAGTTTATAACCATTTCCCCTTGGCCTTTTGCTACCCTCCCTTATAAAAGTACCTCCTTGGCTTTTCTTTAGTCCCCCTTCAGGTACTGGAAGGCCACTATAAGATCTCTTTGGAACCTTCTCTTCTCCAGGCTGAAGAGCCCCAGCTCTCTCAGCCTGTCCCTGTAGGGCAGATGCCCCAGCCCTCTTCTGGACCCGCTCCAACAGCTCCTTGCCCTTCTTGTGTTAGGCACTTCAGAACTGCACACAGTGCTCCAGGTGGGGTCTCACAAGAGCAGAGTAAAGGGGCAGAATCACCTTCCTCGACCTACTCATCATGCTTCTCCTGATGCTACCCAGGATATGGTTGGCAAACCTATGATAGGGAAGAGGTATTCAATTTTCATTTACAAACTGACGGCTTCATTCTTTATGCATTTCCTACTCCTGAGGAGATGTACTCTGTCTCCTGCTTTACTCCTTTTGATTAACCTCACTGGTTGAACAGAAAATTTGGTCCTTAAAGTACCAATAGCACAGAAGCATTAAAAAAGAATAGCAGTGGACCTCGTGGAAGCCAGTCCATATAGATTACCCTGTTAGCAAGACTGGCTGTGACCAAGTTATTTTTGAACCACCAGAGAAGTGCAAGTCAGTATTAGGAGCAAAACTCACAGCAAAAGAACTGTCTAATTACTTCAGATGAGATACCAATAAGATTAAGCTGATCAATTAAAAGGGAGTCAGATCATGAAAGGCCATTTGCATTATGGAAATGGACTCATGCTCTTCCGTAAAATGCTCATTATGTTCCTTTGTGGTATAAATGATTTAAATCATTTGACTCATTAAGAACATTTCAACAACTCAATTTCTGTTTCTTTTCCAGGCTGAAGTTCCTTTTTCTTCATCAGCTATTCACGCTTTCCAGCTTGCTTGCTGTCACTTGACTACAGAAAAGACATCAATTCCCTGGCAACACCTCACCATGTGTTACATGCTTAAAAAAGATCTTCTAAGATAAGTAGTTTCCCTGTGTGCAGTATCCCATGCCTGGAACAACCTGATGCTGAGCCAAAAGAAATTGCTTCCTTACTCTGTCAGTTCAGAGGTAAGTAAATATGTAAACAACAACGGCGAGGATTTGTGCCACTGACTGGGTGTCAGGTCACGCTAGGAAAGTGTCTACAAGTTGCTTGCTAGCAATTTCAGGCTTCTGATTCAGAAATGTTTCCTGTCAATAAATAGACAAATAAATTAAACCTGTTCCCAAACTCCTACACTACATACCAAATGTACCAGAAATTGAAGAGAAAGCCTGTGACACACGGACTGTGAAGAAACCAAGAGCTGTGTGATGAAAACTCCTCAGAAGTTACGGGTGTCCCATCTCTTCAGTTGGTCTTACTTTTACTTCTCACTGCTTGCTAATCTCACTTGGGTATGCTAAAGTGTCATTGGCCTTAAAGCTCTCATGGGTGAAATACATTGAAAACGTTCTTTCACTGCAGAATGGAGATGGAAATGGTGAGAAGTCCACATCCCACAGAGAATTACAAAATAATATAGACTAGAAATTTCTACTTCCTCACACTCCTTCAACTGCGTAATGGAGACATGGAAAAAGTGCCTATTTTTTTAAAATCAAAATAAAAGACTTCAAACTGATTGATTTGCTGCAATTAATTTAGGTGAAAAAATGTAAAAGCCATAGACTGGAATCACAGGCTCAGGTTGAGACACTTTACAAATCTACTGTCCGGACCCTTTTGACTTTATGCACATTTAAGGTATATTAAAAAGCAGTTTTAGGGTGAAAAATGTAAGGTTTCATTTGCCATCGCCCAGTCTAGGCAAACAATGATGAGGCAAAGTGGAAAATTCCATGATGTTAACACCAGAGTGAAAATGAAAGCTAGAAAAACTATGCCAGTAAACCCATCTGTTCCTGCTTACAAATCATGAGAGTCAGGCCATGTTTAAAAGTGCAGCAATATCATAAAATCCCTTAATCGGTCATTTTTTCAAAAAATTCCTGGGTGTGGACATAACAAGGAAGTAGAGGAGGACAAAAGCAACCAGACAACCAATAATCACATTTCTCTGTGCCTGAGTGCACGTTGCCTCAAGCTGACACGTCTTCCAAAAAGTACTGACTCAGAATTGCAGCAGTAAAGGTCAGTTACCAGCAGATTTAAAGAGAAAAAGTAAAACAGCACCTGGCAGATGATTGGTAGTCTGTATGTGGCTGCTCGCTGGGCTCTGCGCCCTGCATTCCATGACAAAATTTCATTACACTTAGCCTACTGAACACTTCACCCTCAGGACCATAAACGAAAGTTGGCACATGGATGGGGAAAATGCACAGAACAAGGTTTCTCACCTCTGGTACTGCAATTTGTTTTGGTCATAGCTGTGGTGTAAAGAAATGTGACTTTACAACTACCTCATACAAAAATATATTTTTTGCCCAAGAACTAACAGTGAGCTACAGAATAGCAAATGTGCTCTTATTTAGTGATAACAGACCACTGACTGATCTTGGAAGGGTACAGAACTCCTCATCAAGGCCAAACCTACTCTCTCCCTACTTGGTTTCTAAAATGCCAGCTGGAAACTTTTCTCAAAAACTGCCTAATATTTCTGTGTTGATACAGCCTCTGTCCACTTACCTGTTTAATAAGAAAAGAGATTAAAAGTATAGGAAGACCAGGAAGGAAAACACCATGGGAACATTCCCCACATCTAGAAAAGCAAAATCTCATTCTCCTGATCACGTTAATTACCTTCCCTTTGTATCCGCCCCGGTTGTGGTTCAGTGCTATCTCTAAGCCCACAGATCAGCCTTCTGAAACAAAGCAACACTTAGGAAAAATTCAAATCTGGAAAAGGGACCTGAGATCAGCTATGTGCAGCCTCAGCTTTCAGTTTTTGACAGCCCATCTTCACAGACTGCCTGCGCAGTGTAACGTATGCTCTTTTTTCTAACCATGGAGATTCCTTTGGATAAGTTCAGTTTGACAGACTTACATTTACCAGAAATGATTTTGTTTTTCAATCTACCACGGACTGTGATATAATCTGCACGTGATTCCTAACAGCAACAGGAATTTAGGTAGGGTTACAGGAAAATTAAGATTGAAATGTACCTCAGCAGCTCTTCTAATCTATCCTCTACCCAAAGCAGGGTTGGCAACCAGGTCAGAGAAGGAGGCTCGGGACTCAATCCAGGCTGGTCTCAAAAACTTCTAAGGAACAAGACTGGACAACGATGACAGGCAACCTATGACATTGCTAGACAGTCACAGAATCAACGCAGTTGGAAAAGAACACTAAGATCAGCTAGTCCAACCGTGTCCTCTCAGGGAAAAGTTGTACCTTATATCCAGTCCAATCTTATTTCAGTTCCTGTTCATTGCTTTTCATCCTCCTGCTGTGCGCAGCTGTGAAGAACACAGCTCCATTCCCTCAGAGGTCCCAAAAGCTGCTACCAGGTGCCCAGGGGCTTTTCATCCCCAGGCAGTACAAGCCCAGTCCCTTCAGCTTCCTCTCATGAGGCACATCCCCCAGGCCCTAACCATCTTTGTATCCCTCCACTGAATTCACTCATTTAGCAGGCTCTTTCTTGTACTGGAGCCCAAGCTGAACCAAGTATTGTAGCACAAAAGATGCAGGTAGTCTGATTGAGCCTCTTTTCCAATCCTACCTTCTTTAATAGTTTCAGGTTGGGGTTGTCTATTCAGTTTTATTTTGGTTATTTTTTGGGAGCAAACAAATGCACTGCTTATCCAAACAACTCTTGAACATACTGACATGAAAGACCGCATTTGAAGCTGATTTTAGAAGGGAGAACAACTTCCGAGTTAGAAAATTCATTTTAAAAAAAAAAAACCAACAAAACAAATGTGTGAAAGAATCTGTGCTGATATACAGTGAAGTCTGACTCTAAAAAGTTACAGACTGAATTATGAATAAGGCAAAGTCATTGGGTTTAATATGTAATAAACTGTCCTAATGAAAACATTAGAGGAACAAATTAATTAGCAGGTGCTCTTACGTGTAACAATTTTTGCCCCTGTTCACAAAGGAATAGGATACAAAAGACATTTACCTGTCTAAATGTTTCATATAGCCACTGCAGTAAGGGCTATTTGGACCACAGCCACCAAAACAAAAGGAGCTGTTCACAGGACTAAAAATATTCCTGGGTGACAGAAATAATCCTTCTAGCATGTTCTTGCCTCATCTTGTGTTCACAACGACTAGTTTTAGCTTAGTCCTCTGAGACTTGGCAGGAGGGACTGTAAAGGGGAATTTTCTGCACCTTTACAACACTGTCCAGTTCAGAACAGTCCCCTACCAGTACGAGACTAAAATCTCAGTGTTATTTCCTTCTCTCACTTTTTAGCAAAAAGAAAGAAATCCTCAGAGTTAAGAACGTATTGATTTGGCGGAGTGCCATATCAGTTAAGATGACTTCCAAAGTATATAATGACATTACCCTCATTCCCCATCCATACCATGTCTGATAGCTCTGGATAAGGAATTGAGTGAAAGCTCACATATGGGAGCTTTTTTCACTCAAGCAATTCTATGATTATAGACTAATACATACAGACAAGGTTTACCTCAGTGCTTCCTTTACCAAGCGTTCTCTATGAACACAAGGCTCTTAAGAGTGTTACAGACTCCTGCATATCAAAGTTATACCATTACAACTTGTGATCTCTATGAGAAATAAATAAGAAAAGAATTCTTAAGTAGTGAATAAAAAAAAAAATCGCACATACGATACAGTACAGTCAGATGCTAAAGGGTCCAGTTTGTTATACAACCTGTTTTAAATCAAAGTGCCTTTGTTAGATGAGTTGATGGTTCTGTTCTTGGATTTTCTGTTCCTGTTCTGTCCTGGATTTTCATTCATGTTATTTCTTATGCTGCCTTTCATAGCATATAAATCCTTTGTATTATGCAAGCTGTAAAACTTTCATTTTTGCGTATGAAGTAACTAAGGATAATGAATAAATTATACAGGACAGGGATTTGCAATCCATTCCTTAAAGTCCTCAATTCACAAAATCTCTTCAAGATATCAGTATTTAATCAATAAGAAATTACCAGACTCAGTAGCATATAACTGTGTAAAATACTGCTAGTTGTATTACGTCCATCGGGAGCAGAATTTGGATTTCTATTTACTTCTAAGCTGTGCTCCTTAAATGATCGTAAACCAGCTGTGACCATCTTAGTATCTTCCTAATTCAGTCATGCAAGTAGTAGGGGAACAACCATCCTACTCTTACTCGCCAATAAAGTTCTGATCAGTCAGAGAGGTGCTCTGAGCACTGAAATCAGCAGGCTAAAGAAAGACAGTGTTGGGAGGGGAAGAGAAAGAGTACGTGAGATAAGGCAGACAAGGTAAAAGTTCTAATTGCCTTGGTTCCTAAAAACAAAACACCGTCACACACAGTATCCAGATCCACTTTGCACTGTTGTTTACTCCATCTTGAAACTTTCAACCTAGTTGTTAATTGCAGTTATGTCTTTCTATATAGAGAGTAAGGCAGAGACCCGCATATGTAATTCGAAAGGATAAGATAGAATATGAAACAGCTGTCAAGAAAAGTGATCTCACTGTTCTGAGGCACTATGGTAATACAATGAAACAGACAAGACTAACTAAAGCATAATTCTTAAGGTCTCCCAAGTGCCTACAAGCAATGCGAGAATTACTTTTGAAAATCTTGGCTATAGAGCTACAACCTGTTTGATGTACTTCCAGCTAACAGAATAACTTCTGCAGAGCTCTTCAAGTAGAGCCTGCAATTCAATAACTGCCTGCATTCTCCACTATAAACAATTAAACACACTGCTTTGAGATCTCTAAAGGGATTTAAAAACAGAAAATAAAACAAGCTCTTGCAGTTACGCAACCATGGAAAATCAAAGATGTTATTTATAGGAAGAAAACTCAGTCCTTAGATTAATGAACATCCTGA